ACTTAAACAAAAGGTATAGCCACTTATTATATAGTTCTTGGCTGAAAACCAAATATAAACTAGGCGAGTAAAAGGAAAGTTAAATAAGAGAAATATTATGATTGGTTAAGATAAGGGAGTAGATACTCAATTGCTATATTTAGATATAAACTTTGTATACTTATATTTTGAACAGAGGAAAAATATTTTTTAATCATAAATTCGATTGGTATATTTTATGTAAAAAAGAGTACGGTCGTTATTTAAAAATGTCCATTTTGAAAAACTTATTTTTAAAGACCATGGCTTATTTAGCTGAAGATAAGGCTTAATAATTAATATTTATAAAATAAGTACATTTGAAATAATGTAGACTTACATAAAAACACTTTTTAATAGCTATGCCATAAATAGATTAAAATATAATGATTTTTAATTAAATAAATCTACATGTTAAATGAACAATTTAATGAAGTTGTCCTAATCGTACCAAAATCTTTTGAAATTTCTACGTTCATATGTGTAAGAACATGCTAAAAAGGGCGTGTCATTTGGCGCGACCATATTTCACAATGGGCTCCATCTTTTGCCTTATTCATGGAATAAATCAAACAGCATATTTGCAAACAAAAAGTAATTTGTGAATAATTTTTTATATACATGTTCTCAGCGATCTAAAAGCAAAGACTAAAAAATAAACTTCGATGAAAATCTCCAAAATCAGCTTCAAATTTAAGGTTGAAAATTTAAATTTTTGCTGATAAGCATAAGAATAAACGAAAAGATGAGGCTGAACGTTCATTTTAAATGTTTTAAGAAATTTATGTAGGTTTGATGATGTATTATAGTATTAAGTGAAATTTGTTTTAAGATAACATGATGTAAAGTGCAATTTACGAGAGAGAGAAGGCGTGGCTAGCTGGGATGTGTCACTACTAGAAAAGTGATTTTTGCAGGCAGGAGGTTGGACCGCCTGCAGCCCAACAACTATAAAAATCATCAATTTTCGCAGGCGGGCACCATTCAACGAACAAAAAAAAAATCACGGGCGCAGCTCGCCGCCGCCGCCCTCCTCCGGCCGGATCTGGGAGGGGAGGGAGGGGAGCCGCGCCGGGCGTCGTCATCGCCACCGCCGCCGGCCTCCCCCTCCCTCCTCCGACCAGATCTAGGAGGGAGGGGGGAGGGGAGCCGCCGTCGCGGTCCCCGCACGTCGTCGTCGCCGCCGCCGCCGCTGCCCCCGCTGGCCTCCCCCCTCCCTCCTCCGGCCAGATCTGGGAGAGGAGGTTGGGAGGGGAGCCGCGCCGCCCCGCCGCCGCCGGCCTCCCCCCTCCCTCCTCCGGCTAGATCTAGGAGGGAGGGGGAGGGGAGCCGCCACCGCCGCGGCCCCGCGCCGTAGCTGCCGTTGTTCCCCCGCCGGCCTCCCCCATCCCTCCTCCGGCCAGATCTAGGAGGGGAGGGAGTGAGGGGAGCCGCGCGGCCACGCCGCCTTCCGCGCCACCCCGCGCCGTAGCCACCATCGCTCCCCCCTCTGGTGGCCAGGGAGAGGAGGAGAGGTGAGGGGAGGGGAGAGGAGGAGAGGTGAGGGGAGGCCGGCCGTGAGGTGTGGGGAAGGGAGAGGCCGGCCGTGGGTGAAGAGAGGGGTGAAGTGGGTGAAGAGAGGGGTGAAGTGTGGAGCCTTAGAAAAAATCTACTCCTATCCAAATCTATTTAATTATATTCAAGTATATTTTCACATGCTGACCGTAAATTTCACCTTAATTTATATTTTTGTAGACGATCATTTGACTCTAAAGGTCATGTCCGCTTGCGAAAATGAGACCTCCATGTTGGGAAAAATGCTTTTTTAGTGTGTTGTACGTGTGCCATGGGAACGATCCTAATCTCGCGGCCTTGAAAGGCACAGCGGCGCCGCTCTTCTCTATTCCTAGGGATAGATCAATCATCATCATGTTGAATCTAATCTCTTCCAATTAATAAGGTCATTAGCAGCAGCAACAGTTCTGACTGTGGAGTTCAAAGTGTAACGTAGGATGGTCGATCTGTTGCCATGTCGAAGCTGATAGGTGCAATCTGGCGGCCATGCGATATTCGTGCGCGATCCAATTGTTCTTACCGCTCCTAACCAACGATTGGATTGGAATCCTTGAAATTTGGCCTACTAAGTAGGAGTTCTATCAAAGTTGAGCCTAAAATATCAAGCCATATATACGAATATGATGGCACCTGTGTCCAAGCTCAGATCTGGACGAGTTCGGAGTCTTTGGACTGCATATGCTGGACCCCCACCACAAAGAGGAAAGAATCATGGTTCGCCAGACGCAAAGGTTGAAATTAATCTCAAGTGATCGCAAAGATGCCCTGATCCAAATCCGCAAGCCTGCGAAGAAACTATACTCTCACATGGGCTGGATCATTAGCATCTTCAAAAGGACCAGACTGCACCCGTACGGGGGTTGAATTCCCGTGCCCGGAACGGCAGCAGCGATCATACCCCCCCCTGTGCATGCTCCGATCCCACGCTGGCCCACCCCCGTATGCGTCTCTCTCGCGTACGATCCACTTTCAGTTGTTGCCGGCTTGCCGCAACGCGCGCCACCGCGAGGGGGGTTTGCTGCGGGCGCACGCCTCTCACGACAGTGAGGTCGAGGAGGCGGAGGTCCCCGTCTTCATCTCTCTGTCCCCTCTCGGCCGGAGCCGCGCTGATGTCAAATAGTAATCCCTCTCGTGCGCGCATCTCTCCCGTTGGACAAAAAAGGGGGCCAAATACGACGGATCCGGATCTGATGGATTGAAAATATGCCATTTCAATAGTGAATTTATGTTATTTTGGCTTCAATTCAAACACAACTTTGCCTTACCAAAATTAGTCATGTCAAAACTTGCCAAAATTTAGTATTGACAAAATTTGATAAGGCTATTTAGGCCACCAACCAAACCTCACTGAGGTGACGACGAGTCCGCCAGTTCACTGCACTGTCTGGCTATTATTGGCGACGACCATATATCCTTTTCAGCACGCCTGACTGTAGTGCAAGTGTGCAACAACCACAACCTTCCACAGCACTTGCCACTCTATTCTCAGCCCATCTGATTGTATATATATTTAGAATTTTTTTATGTGATAAGATTTGTGCTCCAGTGCTCCTTAATTCCAGTTGTGTCCAGCATAGTAGAAGATTTAGCTTATGAGTTTTTATACCATTTGTATTTTAATTGAGGGGTTAGTCAACCTTAAATTCATATATTTATTACTCCCTCCGTCTCATAATATAAGGGATTTAACATTTTGCTTGCACCGTTTGACCATTCGTCTAATTAAAAAAAAATTAGAATTATTATTTATTTTATTTGTGACTTACTTTATTATCCAAAGTACTTTAAACATAATTTTTTATTTTTTATATTTGCATAATTTTTTAAAAATAAGACGAGTGGTCAGTGCAAGTAAAATGTCAAAATCTCTTATATTATTTGACGGAGTGAGTACTTTTACAACAAAGAAACCAAAAGGTTAATAACTCTATCCTACGGAAAAAAGGGTCTGCCTTTTTGTTAACCGCTGAACACAGTAATAGGCTAATAGCACACAATTCATCTCCTCCATCCCTTGTATTTTCTCACGAGCCTGATGGCATCGACACTCGAGCAAAAATTCCTTTTCATGCAAACATATAGGCAATCGTAGTCCTAATTAAACATTTTCTAGCCTTTTTAGCGTAGGAGAAAGTAAAGGGTGCATTTTTTTTCCAAACCAGTGAAAATGACGCCTTAAATTTATTATGATTTTGAAAAGATGGTAATGCACGGATACACCAAATATGATTGTTGCCCTACAAGTAGAAACGGTTCTCCCAATCACTAGTGGAGAACAGATCTTTTTCCGTGGTAACCAAAATCACAATTGTCTCTCGTCCACCAATTTTCAGCCATATATATTACATGAAACGTCCTAAGGAGAATGGTTGATCCCATTGAAACGCAAGTGTTGTGTTCCCTACAAACCAATGTCGAACACCTCGCTGCAATTTAGCAAAAGACTTATGTGTTAAATAACACTAGGAGGCTAAGTCCAAGGAAGCTAGGATCCGGCATGGACATTATATGTAGTCGGGGTATCACTTGGTCCGAGATCTCTAAAGTAGATAGGTAACACTAGAAGATATGCTTGTACGAGTGACTTGATGTGGCCAGCCACAACAAAACGAACGGTTTGTCGTAACCATCATGCATATAATTTGTTCATATCATAACTACGGTTTATGGGTCGTGCATTAAGACCACACTGACCACCAGGGACGGATCTAGAAAAAAATAATAGTGGAAGCTAAATAAACTATATCAGTATAAATCGAACCTCCAGTCCCCACATCTTATGGATCTATAGAAAAAAATTTAGTGGGGGCTTAGGGGGGTCTCCACTGTCCCGGGAACGGTAGTGGGGTTTCAAGACCTCTCCGCCCCCATTATGAATCCGCCCCGCTGACCACCTAGCTAGCTTTCAACAAACGAACTTCTAGAACAACTTTCAAATTTAAATTACCTTGAACAGACAAGTATATTTATGCGTTATTGTCCCATTTGGGAAATGAGTATGTTTTAACAGCCATTAGAATACACGTTGGTTATTTCCTCGTCACATCAGAGGGTGATTGAGAGGCGTGACAGCTGACAAGGGGGTGCACTTGATCAGGAAGAAAAAAAAGGGGTACCACGCAGAGGGAAACTATTTTATACTCTCGAGAGGATATTTTTTTTGTCATTTACATGTCACTTAAATAGCTATAAAAATATTTGAAAAAAAGAGAAGATATATTAATATGTGATATATCATTTCACAAACATACAACCTAAAATTCAAGTTCTACATGTTGCCAAAAAAAAGACAAATTAAACTAGTTAACGTATATTTACAATCAAATCTTTTTTTGCGGCATGTAAAAGTTGAATTTTAAGTTGTATGATTATAATTATTTAAGTGACATAAAAAACAATGAAAATATCTAGAGAGTTTAAAATCCACTCTAGAGTGCAAGTAGCAAAGGCGGGAGGACTATATATGGTCGCTTAACCCTCCCTTCAGTTCTATTAAAAAAAAACTCTCCTTCCTCACATAGAGAATCAAACGGTCCATGATGCTCTATGCCGATCGGACGGTATTCCCTACACGGGAACTGAAGCCATTCACGGTAGGATAGCGATTTTGGTCGAGGGGCGACAACATCCATATCGACGGAAAGGAAACGGCCGAACCACCCAAAAGGCCAACATGAATCACATGCCGCGACGCCTCGCTCCAAAAACCGCACAATCCCGTAAGGCGGCCGACCCCCGCGTCCTTGGTGCATCGAACCCGCTCCAAGTCCTGTACCTCGCCGTACGTCAGCTCCCCCCTTATTTTAGCCCCCGGCTCGATCGCAACTTCACATCGCGCATCCACTCCACACCACACGCTTCACTGGTTCCGAGCACTCGCCACCGATACACTCCAGTGGCAGCCGAGCTAGCCGAGAGCCAAGCAACTTGCCGTGGCCAATAAGCTCCCGTGAGCTGACGTCTCGTGCTCGACGGCTCGGCGCTATATATAAAAGCGTAGTAAGCTGGTAAAAAATTCACAAGGCCACGCGCATCTTGTCTCGGCCAAAAAAAAGAGAGCGCACACGCGGTTGATTTGTTTGACCGACGCGCGTAGGCGGAGGCGGCGAGCTAGCGGGGCCGGCGGGCATGTCGTGGTCCGAGACGGACGCCGCGCTGTTCGCGGCGGTGCTGGGGCACGACGCGGCGCATCACCTGGCCACCACGCCGCCGCACCTCGACGCGCCGGAGGGGTCGCCGTCGTCGGCCGAGCTGCAGGCGAGCCTGCACGACCTCGTCGAGCGGCAGGGAGGGGCCTGGACGTACGGCATCTTCTGGCAGGAGTCCCGCGGCGCCGGTGCCGCCAGCGGCCGCGCTGCCCGCGCCGTGCTCGGCTGGGGCGACGGCCACTGCCGCGACGGTGCCGGACACGGGGAGGTCGGCGCCGCGGAGAGGAGCGTGGCGCGGAAGCGCGTGCTGCTGCGGCTGCACGCGCTGTACGGAGGCGGGGATGAGGATGGCGCCGACTACGCGCTCCGGCTGGACCGGGTCACCGGCGCCGAGATGTACTTCCTGGCGTCCATGTACTTCTCCTTCCCGGAGGGCTCGGGCGGACCGGGCCGCGCTCTGGCCTCCGGCCGCCACGCCTGGGCGGACGTAGACCCCCACCCTTCCGGCTCCGGTAGCGCGCCAGGGTGGTACGTTCGCTCGTCTCTCGCCCAGTCCGCGGGGTTACGCACCGTCGTCTTCCTCCCGTGCAAGGGCGGCGTTCTCGAGCTCGGTTCCGTCGTAGCCATCCGCGAGACCCCCGAGGTCTTGCGCGCCATCCAATCTGCCATGCGCGCCGTGCCAGCTCCGCCGGAAGATTTCATGAGAATCTTCGGCAAGGATCTCTCACCCGGCCGACCGTCCCAGCCCATGGGATGCGACGCCCCATGGACGCCGCGGCTCGTTGTCCAAACCACGCCGGTGCGCCCAGCCAAGAAGGAGGTGGTCAAGGCGAAACCAGCCGAGCCCCCCAAGAGCTTGGACTTCTCCAAGGCGAACGTGCAGGAACAGGCCGGCGGCCAGGAGCGGCGGCCGCGGAAGCGTGGGCGCAAGCCGGCGAACGGGCGGGAGGAGCCGCTGAACCACGTGGAGGCGGAGCGGCAGCGGCGGGAGAAGCTGAACCAGAGGTTCTACGCGCTGCGCGCGGTGGTGCCCAAGATCTCCAAGATGGACAAGGCGTCCCTGCTCAGCGACGCCATCGCGTACATCCAGGAGCTGGAGGCCCGGCTCAGGGGCGACGCGCCCGTGCCCGCGCGGGCGGATGGGCCGGCCGTGGAGGTGAAGGCAATGCAGGACGAGGTGGTGCTGCGCGTGACCACGCCCCTGGACGAGCACCCCATCTCCAGGGTGTTCCACGCCATGAGGGAATCCCAGATCAGCGTCGTGGCGTCGGACGTGGCGGTGTCGGACGACGCCGTCACGCACACGCTCATGGTGCGGTCGGCCGGGCCGGAGCGGCTCACGGCGGAGACGGTGCTCGCGGCGATGTCGCGGGGGGTGAGCGTCACCACTCCCTCCCCGTGACAGTGCAGTGCAGTAAGTTAGTACTGTACTACCAGTACAGCAGTACTCGTGCGTACGGTATAGCTGCCAACTGTTATCAGTCTTTGAATCCTAGGTAGGTGCAACTCCTTGTGACTTCAAGCAATTAATGGAAGCAAAGATGATATTTATATATTTCTTTTCCTGATTTATATGTTAGATTTAGATCATTGTCTTAAAAAAATGTTAGATTAAGATGCATGTACACAAATTTAGCCTGAAGCATCGTATAGGGGTTTTCCATACTTTGATATGGCAATGACATGTCCTCGTTGTTGGATAAGCTTTTGTTTTCGCTCAAGGCGTGTTAAGGAAAAAAAAAAAAGAGAACTGCTTAGTCACTACAAATCAAAACTGCTTAGTATGTGCAGTCCATGATCAATCTTTTGGAAGCACTAGTACAGTTTTCACGCGCGGTTTACTTTGACCAACTGCCTACCGACCACGGACTACCTGTGCTCCCTCCCTCAGATTCCGCATCGTCAACGTCCCACGCCGGCGCACGTTCGTGTCATCTGGAAGTTTTCCTCGTCGTCGAAGCCGGTCTGCCTCTCGTGTGAAAACCGGCCGTTCCGCGTCTTCAAGTCAGTACTTTACATGTCGCGCCTCCTGCCCTCCTCATTGCGCGATCTCGCTCGCCGGCCGGCTCGATCCCACACCGCACGCTCTCACCCGGTCCCGTCGCGCAAAACGGAGGGAGTGCGACGGGCGTGGTGTCCCACGGGAATACCGAATGACGGGCACTGGGCAGTCGAGGTGAGCTCTGCTAGCTTAGACAGTTCTCAAAAAAAAAAAGGAAAAAGGAAAAATGGTGAGCTTAGACGTCGTATCGGGCGATCCGATGGGTCGACGTGACGCGCCAACAACCTTAACCAGCAACTCTCCGTCGCTCCCCCACCACCACATTGCCGTGTCGATCTGCAGTACAGCCGTACGTTGTGGGGTCGTTGCACTATCGGCCGACGCGTGTGTCTGAGCTCGCAAAATTCCGTCATCGGCAACGTGTGGAGAAGGTCGCGCCTTAAAGGCCATTCACGGTAGGTTTTGTGGCATTTAGCCTCCACACCAAAAAACGGATATTCCATACCATATCGTCAAAGCACGGAACTTGCTCAGGTCCGAGTAGCCAACTTTAGCTACGAGTTCCTTAGTCTCAGGCAGGACCCACATTCGTGCTAGAGGAGAGGGGAGAGGGGCGAGGCAGCCGACAGGCTGGACGAGGAGGAGGAGGTGAGAGCGGGACAGGAGAAGAGGAGGTTGGTGTCGCCGTCGTCATCGCCGCTCGCCGCCCGGCGCCGTTCGCCACTCGGCACCGTCGCTGCTTGGGCCGTCCCGCCGCCGAGCTCGTCGTCATCCTCCTATCCACACCACTGAGCTCGTCGACCTCCTCGTCTCCGCGTCGCCGAGCTCAGGGCCATCCTCCTCAGCTGCCTCGCCCCTCTCCCCTCTCCTCTAGCACGAGCGGCGGTCCCCAAGTCGGCCAGATCTGTCGTCGAGCTCCTGCGCGTCGTCTCCCGCCGCCCGGCGCCGTCCCAGCTCGAGCGGAGGAGCTCGGGTTGCCGCTCGACCGCCCCGCCGCCCGGCGCCGTCCCAGATCGACCGCCGCCGAGCTCCTCCGCCATCAAGCCCTCCGCCGCTGAGCTCCTGCACCGTTGTACCGATGCTCGTCGTTTTTTCCGGGGAGGAGGAGGAGGAGGGTGGTGCACGGGCGAGCGTCAAGCCTCACCGCCCCTCCGGTCGGCGCCGTTGCCGCTTGGCTGCTCGGCTGGCGATGCGCTCGGTGCTCACTGCGGTAGGGAAAGAAGACAGGAAAGAGAGAGGGTAGAGAAAAAAGTGGTAAAAGGATGGTAATGGTGGGACCCATAAGAAGCAACTTGCACTGTGACACATGTAGCTAACATTGTTCCTCATCTAGCTGGCGCGTGAGGCTGAGCAAATAATAGTGGCGCACTATGAATGCCCTAATTGCACGACGGTCGTCGACCGATCGGTCAGAGCAGTACATTTAGGCTATGTTCCTTAGCATGGGTTGGGAACCCTCCCTCTCGTGCACGCAAAACAACGCGATTGTTTAATGCACGATTAATTAAGTATTAGTAAAGAAAACTTGAAAAATGAGTTAATATGGTCTTTTAAAGTAACTTTCGTATAGAAAATTTTTGTAAAAAACACACTGTTAGAGTGATCGGTCTAGTAGTAAAGTACTCGTAGCACCCGCGCACACCGTCGGTGCAGTGGTTCGGTTGGATCTGTCGATGCAGTGCCAGCATTTGTAATCGTACCTTGTTTTCCCAGCTTGCTACCCACATGCATGTACTCCGTAATCACCAGGCCAGCAGCGGCCAACTGCCCTGCACTCGAGAAATGAGAATGAGATGAATTTCCAGCAGTTAGCAAACAAAAAAAAGAGAGAGATGAATTTCCAGCAGTTATCAAAAGAAAAAAAAAGATAGACATGAATTTCCAACCCCATCGTCACGTCACTTATATATACTTATATAGCGCCTGTTCGGCAGCCATGCTACAACTGCATGCTGCTGATTCTGTGAGTAAAGTTTTATCCGTGCTGGCTGCAGCCGCATCCCATATCCAACCGAACAGACTAATAGATACAGCAAACTAGTAATATATGACTTTACTCATCCTAAAATATAATAATTTGTTATATTAAACAAATATTTGCAAATTACAATACTCCCTCTGTCCCGTATACTTGGCATTTTACTTCATATCTATTGTCCTGTAATGCTTGATGTTTTAGTAAGAAGCAGAAACGTGGGGTCGGTGTAGCAGTGTACGATTCAAATTTTATCATGTATGGTAGTTCATCCATGATTCCTTCCATGGTAGAAATGACAGGTGTATTTTTGTTTTGAAATGATTGCTTATTCTGGTCATTCAAAGTAACTACTCTCTCCGTCGTAAAATATAAAAAATTTAGGATGGATGTGATATATCAAAGGACTATAAATCTGGATTATATGTTACATCCACCCTAAATCTTTTATATTTTGGGACGGATGAAGTAGTAATAAGTTAGCGTCATATGGTACACTAATTTGGCTAATTTAGCTCAACTATACTAGGACGTCTCCTATTTTAAGATGGAGATAATAGAACATACAACATCAGCCTGAAAATGAGATTACCAATTAGCGTTGCTATGTCCATACTAGATACAGTAAATAAATCCTTGATCACCATTGGTACATTAACAACTCCACACAAACACTTCACCCAAGACAGACGTTTCATTCGCACGTGCGATACTATGTATGTCACGCTTGATACTCCCATTGCATATGACACAATGACACAAGAAGGGGTACGTGGTTAGGCAGGCGGTCACTCATCAGTCATCACACATGCCTAACAGAGCCTGCGGCACACCCATCACGCGTACGTTTCTGTCGCGACGAACGCTAGCTAGAGGCCAGGCGACGTACCAATGGGCCACATCGCCTGCCTGTCCACAAATGTCATAAGCAGTTTTGACTAGTATTAGTTTATTTCATTACACAAAGAATAAAATGAATGAATTTAGTAGTACTACTAGTAGAAAAGTAATTCATCCGATAGACCGATACCTTTCATTCTTCTGTGCTTTGTTGTATCAACTTGTGTTGGTTGGAATATTTTACTCTTCCTATTCACTCGCACAGTCGCACGTGCAGGATGCATCCACCACGTCATGACATGTACGTATGGTGGTTACTACTAGTAGGGTGTTAGCTAGATCCTAGGGTAGTGTTATCACCACTGCCCACACGTGCATAACATGTAACCATGAAAAATAAGAAAGGTAGTACTGTAAAAGGCAAGAGACAGTTCATATATGGTATAGAACTTAACCAAGTGCAGCAGTCATTGAATCAAAGAAAGTACTCTCTCTGTCCCAAAATATAACAACTTTTGGTTGGATGGGACTTCTCATACAACCAAAAGTTGTTATATTTTGGGACATAGGGAATACTGTATACCTTCCGTCACATATGATAAAAGCTAATCTCGTATTAGATGTGATTTTGAATGTTCGCGAAGACGAAGAGATTAGAACTTAAACCAAGTACTTTTGGGACAGTGGGAGTACTATATGCCTTTCGTCACATATGATAAAAGTTAATCTCGTATTAGATGTGATTTTGAATGTTCATGAAGACGAAGAGATTAGAACTTAAACCAAGTGCAGCCACTCATCGAAGCCAAGAAGGTTATAGTACTGCGAAAACTATGGTTAATTATTAACCAGCTTATATATCTATATCTATCTATACCTAATTAAAAAATTTATAAGGTTTCCGTGATTTTTTTTTTGTCCGTCGTCCCGATTCCGATCCGGCCGTTCGCGAGATCGCATCCCGTGGCCGAACATACATGTCCGCCTCACTTCCGTCCCATACGGATGTACATAACAAACATGTTCCCCTTGAACTAGATGTCAAATCATACAGAAAAGAGAGAATAAATCACAAAATCACAACTTCACTTAATCACAAAATCACAAATCCAACAACAATGAATCAAAATCATGCAAGAAAATTAAATCACAAAAAACTAAATCACTGGCACCACTACTCATTGGAGCCGAGGATGCCGCTGCCCCCGAGGTCGTGGTGGATGGCGCGTGTGCTGCCGCCGTGCGCCATGAGGAGGGTGCCGCCGCCGAGGGGCTCCCATGAAGAAGGTGCCGCCATTGTGCCGGAGAAGAAGGTGATGCCGCCGAGGAGAGAACGCCGCCCGCTGGGGAAAGGGCATCGCCGGCCAGGAGGAGGGTGGTACGAGGCACCGCGGCTGAGGCGCCGCCCGCCTTGGGAGGGCGCCACAGCTAAAGCGTCGGTTTCCAAGGGCAGGACGCCACCCGCCGGGGAAAAGACCCTCCGGGCGGGTGAGGGCACCCTGGCTGAGGGGTAGGGGTGGCAGCGTCGCCGTGGGGGGAGGAGGAGGGAGAGCAGCGTCGCTGGTTTGGGGAGAGGGAAGGCGTCGCCGCTTGGGGAGAGAAAAGGTGAAGGAGAGAAGGAGATATGGCGGGCGGGCGGAGCAGATACAGCGAGAGGAAAGAGAGAGGGAGGATAAGGTCAGGCGGAAGAAATGAGGCGCGTGGGGCTGGAAGAAACGAGGGTGCGCATGCGACCGCCCTCCGCTGATGAGCGTTTTTTTTCTTTAAAATAAAACTTATGGTTTTTTGTTTGGTCCATCTTTTTTTATCGGTTTTCCCTTTTTTTTCTCACCGTTTATTTTCTGATCGGATTAATCATTTTTATCTTTTTTAATCGGTTTTTCCTTCTTTTTTTTTTGCTTTTTTTGGAATCGGATTTTTCTTGCGCACGCCAGCTTTTTGTTCGATTTTCTTTTTATCTATTCCAATCTGAACCTATACCCATGTCTTTCCCTGCGTTTCCTCCTTTAATTAATGGCAAAAATCGATTCCCAACTCCTTCTTCTTATTTTCCCTGTAATTTTCCCTTTCAATTCGTTTTTAGTTTGTCGAATTTAATCTACATTTAACAGTTATATTCATAAAACGTAATTAATCATGGAAAATTTAATAAAAATTAATTTTATTACTTGGGAAAATTTATTACCCACATTTACCTTGATTTTCATGATCCTTTCTTTTCGTAATATCGTATGTAACTGCGATTTTATATGTAGTGGGGATGAAATAAATATAAATATATGTAGTTTATTTATAGTAAGGATGCTGAAATTTGTATTTTAATTAATTACGTAATGTAAATATTTCTCCTTTTTTTTCTTAAATTCTCATGTTTTATTCCCGTTGCAACGAACGGTCATTTCTTTTAGTGTCCATAAATAGCTATAAGAGGCATCGATCATCGCAGCAAGCCGACTGGGTGTGGCGCCTACGTGATCGTTGGTTTGTTTCGCTTGTTTGGGCATACAGCTATGAGAACTTTGTTGGGGGCCCATACTACTTATCATCATGTGTCTAATTAAAGTTGTACCAGTTATAGCAATTTCCCGGTGTCATTTTCCACAAATGTTTTTCATTTTTTGTGGTCCGGGCCTTGGACGTACACTCCAGAATAATTGTAGCATGACATGACGTGTGGCGGTTTCAATATTGGTCTAGCAACGTGCAACTTGTAGCATTACAAGAGGATGGTGTATTGGTAAGAATTGAAAAGATGGTTGACAAGTTGCAAAGGTTCGGTTCCTCGTCTCATGTCTCGTCTGCACTCTCTCCGTCCAATAAAAAACGAATCTAAAACTGGATGTGACATATTTTAGTACGATGAATTTGACATATATATATCCAGATTCATAGTACTAAAATATGTCACATCCAGTACTAGACTGGTTTTTTATGGGACGGAGGGAGTACTCTTTTGTCCCAAAAAGATATAAATCTTAGGCATGAATCTATACACATATGTGTTTAGATTTATCCCTAGGATTTGAGTACGTGTCTATGTTCATCCTTAGGATTTAAGTTTTTTTTTTACCAGAGGGAGTACTAGGGATATGTGTTTATAACTGTGCAACACTTTCTTGGCGAGAACATATTGTAACAATTGGTCTTAGAATTAATAGCTACAAAATTCAGATAAATGAACTGGTAGGCAAAAACTAGAAATGTAACTTTGTTTTCCCCATATTGCTACTCCAAATCTATATGCATATCGCTACTCCAAATCTACATGATCATATATAGAGTATGTTTGGAAGAGCTTCTAGCAGCTGCAATTTCTCACAGAATTTTCAGCTCCTCTAAATAGTCCAGATTGTCACCCAGATTTTAAGAATATGCAGTTGTAAAAGACAGAAAATGAACTAGAAGCCAGAAGCTAGATAACTCAGCTTCTCAAGATAACTCAGCTTCTCAATATTCTCAGTAATTAACTATCAACTAGCAGATTCTCAAATTATTAAGCTCCTCCAAATAGACCATAATGAGCTATCGAGTTGGATGATACTACCAAGACACTATAAAATCAACCGTTTCTTCCTTCACTACTCTAGGACAGTCTTTATCAATACCATAAGCTCACATCATAGTTCCCTATAATTCGTACGCAAATAATTGATGTTAGTTGGTTGTTTCCTTTGAGCATATCTTTCCTGGTCAGGGAGGTGACGCTCAAATCAGAAACAAAGTCTAGTGCTGGAAACTATGGAGTACCAACTAAAGTTTATAGTACAACCTTTATCCTGGCATCAGGATGGCAGAAGGTGTGAAACCCGTGAGATTAATTAAAAATCAGTTTCGAGAAACAATGATAAAGGGCTCAGATCACCTGCCCAAAACATATCAGTATTGCAACTTCCAGACAAAAAGACGCAATTGTCAAGTGTAAGGGCATGAACGAAAAACACTAACATCTAGCGGCGGAGAACTAATTCTTCATAAAGATGAGTTAGTCCGATGACAGTGCCTCATGATCCAAACAAAAGAGGCTTGTTGCTGGAACCCATGTCTGATTTTTCTAAAGTAGCCAGATGCATGTCAGTGTACATCACTAACTCCAATATTAAGACGAGCATATGAAGAAATTACTTCTCCAAGTCTCCAACCGTCTACCCTACACAGCATCATGCAGCTTGACTAAGGGATAAGTTTTACAAAAGTTTATAGGAACCCTAGTACCTCCAGACCCTCCATAGCGGACTTACAGCCTGTACTGGCCCTAAGTAAAGGGCCAGAACAAAGGCCTTCTTGATTTGATACAGGCAAAAGGGGCTTCTGAAACATGCTTTCAGTCCGATGATTCTCCAAGCTTTTTAATGGCATCCTCTATTGCTGGCACAGAATCACGAAATGCTTCCCACTGCTCAACTGTCAAACTTATCCCTGCAATTCAGCAGCGTGGCAAAATAAGAAATGAAGCACATGAAATCAAACATATCAACACACACGCAAAGGTACAGTTACGTCATGAAAGTAAAACAAAACTGCATTGCATTAGCACCACTACACAAAGAATGCCTGTGAAGAGGATGCAATAGGCACAAAGCAAACTGAAAATGAACTTTTTCATCTTTGGTGGTAAAATAAAAAACATGGTACAAAGGCTCATCCTTTAGGAAGGAAGGTGTCCCAAGTGAAACAATTGTCAGATGTTAGACTTCAATATAAGGATTTGTGATAAAAGTACAATCTGAGGGGTGATGTCGTATTCCAAACATTATAAATCAACACACTATTAGGATCCTGTGTACAGGCTATGGAGTAACTGTGACTCTTTTCTTTTATCTTTCGCTTATGCCTAAGATTGTAGTATAGCTTCATAAGGTTGGGAGATACTTTTGAGGATCAGCTAGACATCTAAGCTTAAATGTTCCTCCCATAAAACTAAATTTGGACAACAATATAAATAGAGCTGGGTAGCTGTTGCATAAGATTTAATCACATTGCACCTATTCAAATATCCTATAAACTAGTTAGAACCTGACATCATATTTAACTTTTTCAGCAACTACGTTCAGCTGGACTAAACAAATAATAAGAAAACAAACTGCACAACAACTTCCAAACCACACTAAAGACTTAGATGGTGCAAACCCAAGGTAAAATAGATATCCTAGTACTACCAATATGAATCATCTAAGAGTAAAGACAAGAAGTCAAATTGGTAACAACAACTTGTAAGCCATAACAGGGACTGTACGATAAATATTTGCAGAATTGGCAAATGGAGAATCCTAACCATAATCAAGCAGTTACAAATTGGCAATAGCACAGATCTACAAAAATAGTGTCGCTGACACAATCAAAGCATGATGGCAAATGACAACAGACAAGTGACAGGTCGGCCTCACTCAAGATTGATATTAGCAAGTACAATAGAAAAAACTAGGGAAATTTGCACGAAGTTAATATTTTTAGGACTGATAAGCTGGAAGAATATTTTCATACCCAATTCACAATTCCCTATATTCTTATCATCACCCCTTTGTCTTTAAGCAACTCACCCTTGATCCTTATAACAACACTGGAATATAAACAATAGCTCATACATGTGCAAAACAAAACCTAGGTATGCTCCGTGACATTTGAGAGTGTGATCAAATAGACCAAGAAAGAAGAGGATAGATAAGCACAGAAAACACATCAAAATATTAAACAGATCGAGCTATCAGAGAATTTACAGTTATGATGCAATTCGATTATACAGATGTCAGAATTGGTAGAGTGTAATATTTCCTCTGAGGTCTAAACAAAATCTAACCCAACTGACTTGCAGCAGTCCCACCCATAATAAAACTGGTAAAGTTCGAGATATATGTGTAATATTAAGGTGCATTTTAACCGAGCAGTTCTAAGACAAGTCCTCTATTATAATAGCAGAAATCCAATGTTTCAGCTAACAAATCAGGAATATGTGCATCACCTTTGGCGGGCAGCTCCTTGCCGTCCTTGAAGTAGTACTCTCGGATGGACAGAAGCGTCTTGCCCTTGAACTCCTGAAGAGTCACCCTCCTCCTGGCCGAAAGCTGCAAAAGCAAACCTCATCACACCGATTCCCACCGCGAAATCTAGCGAAACAAAGGAGTATCAGCGATTTCACGCGAGGGGAAGAACTCACGCGGCAGAGGATGAGGTCTCCCTCGTCATCGTACTCCCTCTTCGTTCCACCTCCCCGCTCCTCCTCCTCCTCCTCCTCCTCTTCCTCTTCCTCCTCGGCCTGTTCGTCCTTCCCCTCCTCGCCGGCGCCGCCGGCCTGCTCCTGCTGCTGCTCCTGCTCATCCTCCTGGGAGAGGGATTCGAGGTACCCCTCGACGACGCGGCGGACGAAGCGCTTGCGGTCGGGGATGGAGAGGTCGATGCCGAGGCGGTCGGCGGCGGCGGTGCGGACCTTGAACTCCGTGAGGGACTCCATGTCGGAGCCCCGGAGGATCTCCAGAACCGTGGACTCCACCTTCTTCTGCGTCTCCTCGTCCATGCCGGCCGCCGGTGGGGCGCTGGCGGAAGGCGGCGATGCTTCGGCTTCCCTCGCCGGCTTTCTCCCCACTCTGTCGAACTCCTAACCGCTGTACAGCGCCGCCTGCGTCGATGGGGGTAGGGGAAGAGGACGAGACTCCTGGGCTATCCGGCCCGACATATTCGGCGCTAAGGAATAAGTTCACCGGAGGTCCCTCAACTTAACAGCGAGATTTTTTAAGGTTGCTTAACCACAAAACCAGAAATCTCCACCCCTAAACTATACAAAAACGGTTTCGCTGACGTGACATCTGGTTAGCACAAATAATAAAAATAAATATGTGGGGCCCACATATAAGTGACCCACATTTTTCTGTTGTTCTTTTTTCTTCTCCGGGCGTGGGCGGAGGCAGGCGGAGCGGCTGCGAGGGCAAGCGGCGGGCGAGCGCGGCTTGCGGCGGGAAGCGCGGCTGCTAGGGCGGGCGTCGGCGAGTGCGGCTGCAGCGGCAAGCGGAGGCGGTCGGCGTGACGAGGCGGCGGGAGAGGAGGAGAGGAGGCGCGCCGACGCGAGAGGTGGGGGCGTCGGCGGGAGAGGCGGCCGACCGCATTGGCGGGAGAAAGGGGAGAGGTCGTCACCCGCGTCGACGGGAGAAGGGGAGACGAGCCCGGCTGTGCTGGCCGCGCTAGACCTTGACCTCCTCAGCGGCGGCTCGTCGGGGAGACGAGCTGATCCGCCTCGCGCAGGCAGGCGAACACATCTGGTCCAAGAGCCCCAGCGGTGGCGTGTCCGGCGGCGACGCCCGCGAGACCCTCAACCTACGACAGCATCTTCTCCAAGCTGTTCGACGCCACAAGCATTTTCCATCTTGCCCATGAATGAATTCGTTCATATACACGTATGCCTCCTTGCTGATTGATTGGTTCATTGCCATTGCAGAAAAAGTGGATGGAGTTCTTCCCAGCATCGTCTCCAAAGCTCATAGCATTGAGCAGGGGCTATGGGCCATCGCCGATGTCTCCGTCAACCTGTAGCGCGCCCGCGGGAGAGGGGGGGGGGGGAGCCGGCCGACCGCACCGGCGGGAGAAGTGGGAGAGGAGGCCGGCGGGAGATGGGGAGAGGAGGAGGGCGAGTCGTCGTCATCGCCGCCCAGTCCGCGCCCGCCTGCCTCCGGCAGGAGGTGGAGATGTGCGGGGAGTAGGGGGCAAAGCCGGAGGAGGGCGGCCGCCCACACCCAACAGTCGTCGCGCCCCTGGTGATGCGGCGCGCACGGAGCGACCTGGAGCTCGCCCGCCGCCCGCCCATCGCCGCTCTCGCCCGCCGCGCTCCGCCCGCAGCCCGGCGCCGTCAACACCACGTCGCTCTCCCGCGTCCACTCGCCCACGCTCTACTTCGATGCCCGCCTCCGCTTCGCCTGCAGCCCGGCGCCGCTCCGCCCCCGCGCTCGCCCGTCGTCGGCGTTGACCTGATTCTTCTGGATACTGTCCGGCCAGCCCGACGCGGAGAAAAGAGGAGAAAGGAGAAGAAAATAGAGAAAAAAAAAAGTGCAGCTGACATGTGGGCCCCACATATTTTCTTTTAATTTTTTTTGCTGACTAGGATGCCACGTCAACAAAATTGGGCAAAAATACTGCCGAGTGCCGAGGGACCTCCGGTGAACGGTGTGTGAGAGTTTAGGGGTAAATGATATTAAAAAATCTCGCTGTTAAATTGAGGGACATCCGGTGAACTTATTCCTCTGCGCTAAGGGTGTGATGAGGCCTACTGGGCCAATAGGAATTGGGCCGTCATATGCTTGTGCTGGGCCTCTTTGTTTCATACTCCAGTTAGAATAAGTTCACTTGCAGTTCCCTTATATTTATGTCTAGTTTAATTTTGTATCCTTAAACCGCAATATAGAAATATTCGCCTCTCATCTTGGAAAAACCATCTAAATTAGGTCCTTTGGTAATATGGGCGGCTGTTTTAGCGGATGTGGCATCATTTTCAGCATAATAATAATAATAATAATAATAATAATAATAATAATAATAATAATAATAATAATAATAATAATAATAATAATAATAATAATAATAATAATAATAATAATAATAATAATAATAATGTGACGCTGCCATACACCGCCTCCCTTCGCTTTTGTCAGGCAGGAGAGAGATGAGAAGAGAGGGGAGACACGGAGAGAGATGAGGAAGAAGACTGAGAGGAGGGGGAGAGAGAGTAGGGAGATAAAAGAGTGGAGGGGAGTGAGTATGACTGTATGACATGTGGGGTTTATTTTTGTTCTTGTCACGTAAACGTCTAGTCAGCACGAGTGGCCCCGGATAAACTTACCATATTAGCAAAACCATCCATCTACACTTTTAAAGGAACTAATTTAACCTAATTTTGCATGTTAAGGGGTCAAGACTCAAGTCTGCTGGTGTTACGGTTTAGGATGGATTTAAACTCGTCGTCAAAGATGAGGGACTCACAGTGAACTTATTCGTTGTAGACAGGGCTTCAGAACAGTGACTTGGGCCGGTCTGCTTGTTCATGGGCTATATGACATGGAAGGACGAAAAGAAAATCCCGTAAAGGCCGTCGATCCGCACGGACAAGTCACAACCCTAGGCCCAAGTCCCCCCTCAGTCCTCACTCCTCACTCCTCACTGTCCCGCCTCCACCGTCCCCTCCCCTACCGGTCGCCGCTGCCTCCCTAGCCCGCCGCCGGCAAAGCTAATCCTATACTCGTATCCACGTTGCTTCTTCGAGAGAGAGGATCGAAAAACTCGTAAGCATGGTGCAGCTCGAGGAGCTAATCTCCTGCCTCCCGCCGCCGCCGGCGACCACCATCACCCACCGCAAGATGCTCGCCCGCAGGAAAACCATGGAGATGGCCGTCGTCTCCGACCCCGCCCCCGCCGCCGTCACCAACCTCAATTATGCCGGTGCCACACGCTCGTCTCCAGTCGCTGCAAATATCCGTGGTACCCCGGTGATGAGGGACGTTCTCAGTCATCTCCCGGTAAAGATGGTGCGGGAGTTAGGTCCCTTATTCGCCAGCGAATTTTGGCTATCCACCGTTATGGAAATTGACGACGAACAGCTGCTCCCCCAGAATGGCGAGCAAGTGGATCTCATTGAGAGGGTTGGGTCAGTCCTTTCCACACAAGATGGGCCTTTCCCTACGGTGAGGCTCACCAACTTGTGCTTTCAGCCATTTGGGGTGCAGGAATTACATTGCATAGGTAATTATTCTTGAAGCTTTGGTCGTTTTGCATCAATTTGCTTGTTAAAGATGAGTCGCTGCTTAAAGTATCATGCACTTATATTCTTCTAATTTTCTCTTCTGTACAGACGATGATGAGTCTGCATTTATTATTCTGATGTCTTGGTTTAATCTCTTTAACTCGAAGAAGGTGACCAAGTTCATCTTTCTCAATAGAGCTCAGCCAACGGCTAAACTTTTATTTGTGCCAGAAAACATTCTTAAGTGGTGGAGGCTCGAGACCCTGTATTTATGTCAAATCAGGTTCAAGGACCCCTCTGGAACCATTGATTTCCATTTGCCGAATCTCGCGGAATTGGGGATTGTCAATTGTGAGTTCCACCATGATACACTGATGAAGATGGTTGCACAGTGCCCAAAGCTCGAAAGGTTATCTCTGGCTTTTCTCGAGTTTTCTACCAAGATTCACTTTGAGTCTAATAGCCTCAAGAGGATGGTGCTCTGGAATTATTCTGCAAGAGACAGTGTTAGAATTGTGGCCCCAAAACTATGCAGACTCATATTGCATAATGTTGGCACTTCTGAGCCTCAGCCCCATGATGAGCACCCTGATCCTGGCGACCATCGAACCATGGTGTTATCTATGAACTCAGAAATCGATATGGATCTTGAAGTTTTAGGTTACATTGACCTGAACTCCCATGTGCCACTATTGAGTGAAGGGCAATCTTGCAAGTCTGTTAGGACTTTGGGAGTTCAACTTGGGTTTGGGCATGATAATGAGTTTCACACCATGCGGCGTCTATTGAAATACTTTCCATCTGTGGAGAACCTATACATACAGGTATAACATATTTTTTTACTTGCTTGGTACCATCATGCCTGAGTTAAATGACACGTGCCTCTTGATTTGCAGAGTACTAAACTGGACAATGTCACTATAGATCTAACAGAAGATCGCATTATTGACTTGTTTGAGCCAATAGAAGATCGTAAGATCATGATGGTTGTATATGAGGCTTTTAAAGGTTCTGACCATGAGTTATGCTTAGCATCCGTGTTATTGCAGAGGCTCCCTTCCCTGCAAAAAATGACGATATTCTATGACCGTGAGATCAGTGATTTAGTAATCAACAAGTCACACTCTTCCTTACAAGCAGCCATGCTCGGTGCCACAGTTGAGTTGAACTTTTGTGCATGCCCTGAGTCTTCATGGACTCTACAAGAAGCCCTAAACGCCGATCACTTAGCATCTAAACCATGAGGTAACTTATATTTCAGTGTTGGCTGGACCATGATGTGGTGCTTGTTTTGCTTTTTTCAATGTTGAATGTTCAATAAGGCATGGCTTGTTATACTTTTCAGTTGCCTAGCAATTATTTTTTTAGGTCAAGCTTAGGATTTCTGCACGAATTCTAGATTTGCACATTCGATTTACTCAGCTCAAGTGGATGTGCTCAGCATGAATATCATCATTCTAATTTATGTAACCCTAACCAATGACTTTTATGCAGAATTTCTCTTCTCATTTTTGCGATACTTGCTAACTGCTTTGTTGATTGAAGCCAACGTCCATATTGTCATTTGCTGTATGACTATTATTTATTCCATGATTTTGTTTAGTGAAAATAGCTAATAGTTATGTTTAGCTTTCCTTTTATCACTGCTCGATTAGGATTTGGGACTCATTAGAAGCATAGTTACAAAAACCAGATCAAAGCACCTAGACCGGGCCAGGGGAAAGGGAGATAGCAGGTGGACTCTTAAGCAATTGCAGTGAGATGAAATCTTGATTAAACATGAGCCATCGAACCAATTCTGACTAGGAAGGGAGGGACGGATGGCCAGACTCATTAGAAGCATAGTTAGAACCAGACCCAAACACCTAGACCGGGCCAGGGGAGAGGGTGATAGAGGTGGACTCTTAAATAATTGCAGTCAGATAAAATCTTGATTAAACACCAGTCATTGAATCTATTCTGACTACGCATTTACCTAATTTTGGCTTTGGGGGCAGGAGATGAAATTGGGGCAAGGGTGTGTATGATTGTGTGGTTTGGGTAGTTGTTCAGCCTTCACAGACAATGTTAGATTAGTTGATCAATTGTTGTATGCCATGTAATTTGAATATTTGATTGGTGCGGATTGCTATTTGTGTGTGATCGATCAGTGTTACGTACTTTGTGGACATGAATCACAAGTTATTTGCGGCTTCTGAAATATTTTGCCACATATTTGCGGCTTCTGAAATATTTTGCCACATACTTTTTACATGGACTGTCAAACAGCTGTACTGTCTCGAAATATAAAACCTATTTTGTGCTTTGCAGGATATGTCAAAAGCTGTCTACATTTGGAGCTTGAAAGTGCAATTGGATAAGCATTTTGGACACTGGGAAGAGGATGCTGGACTTGTTGACGAACTTCAGAAAAGGAACAACACAATATGTTATTTGTGCCAAGCTAACTGATCTGTTGTTTCAATATCTAAAAAAACTGATCTGTTGTTTTAATGCCTACTAAGACCATATTATTGTTTTTTTTACAGTTAGTCCCATCACCTGTCATGATGACTTGACAGTTACTTTTTGAACAAAATTTAGACCGCTCCTGTACTTTTCTCATTTTCTAGTTGGGAGATAATGTGCCATGATCCATACTTGTGGTTTGGTTTGTCAAGAATTCTCTTGTCAAATGCCTAGGAGGTACAAAGCAAATCTACATTGCCGCTCATGTTTATCTACCTTATCCTACCATTTTTCACGTAACTTTTCATAGCAATGCACGGAGTTTCCATAAAGGGTCACTGTCCTCTTCTAGTATTTTCGATTTTACTTTTGGGTAGGATTTTGTTTGGTTTCCCCTCTTGCCTTGGATGAATTTAGATTTTTTGAAGTTGGAAAGGTCTATTTGACTAGAATTTGAAGTATGGGAAAGAAGCATAGCTGCATAGGAACTGTTTAGAAAGCTTTTGACACTCATAATCTCTAGCCCTCTTTGATAAGGTAGATTCTCACTCTGTCAGCCGCATTGCTATATGATGCAGACAGTGAGATTAGCACTAGCTAATTGAAACCTAGATTTTTAGATACTCATCAGCTGTTTCCAGATGTTTGGATTGTCACCAACTGGCTCTATTCATCAGCTGCTTCTTAGAACGGAGCCATGGAGAAACTTCTTATCTTCAGCTTTCCCTAAACGAGGTCATAGTCTCAGAGAAATACCATGAAGGCAATAGGGTTATCCGGCGTAATTGATGATCTCGGTCGTTGAAATTTGTACTTTGTTTCGACTTTTTTTAAGTCAAACTACTTCAAAGTTTAATCAAATTTATTATAGAAAAATATAAAAACAGTTATAGCACCAAATTAGTTTCATTACATTTAATATTGAACATATTTTTTTCTAAAAATATTGCTATATTTTTTTTATAAATTTGATCAAATCTAAAAAAAAGTTTGACTTAAGAAAAGTCAAAACTACTTTATCCGTTTCACAATATAAATCATTCTAGTATTTTCTAGATTCATATTGATGTTAATAAATCTAGATAGATATATATATATGTCTAGATTAAATGATTTACATTGTGAAACGGAGGGAGTAATTATAATATGAAATTGAGATAGTACTACTAATAATTAATTTCTACAAGTTCTTCGATCGAGAACAGCCCTAGAACCCTTGGGGCACAAAAAGAATGTTTGGCTACAGCCTACAGATATAGCCCATTAGTATTTCATACATCAATGTTCATCAGTTGACGTATTGGGCGATCTGTTGGAATCTCCGACTTAGATTTAACTTTTTAGTTGCACGTAGAATAAAGTAAAATACTAGCACATTAATAATTAGGGATTCGCTATACAGAGAGTCCCAATAATTAAGTGTTAATTATTATAAAATTTTAAAATAGATCTAAAATATATAGTAAAATTAAAGAAAACATCATTTAATAATTTAAATAATATGCGAATGAAAAACGAAGTTGTAACGGCGAGTTAAGAAAAGTGCACAAGTCCTCAGATTCCGAGTTTCCGACCACAGCCCGAGATGTGGGGATTCGGGCCCGTGAGTGATTTGTCCGCGCATTCAGCCCACGAAAGCGGTGAGTTTGCTCTAGACAGCTGGCTTTGTTCAGTCACTCGCTGTGCACGAGCAATATCAAGCACCATCTCCAGTTCCAAGTTCCAATTTTACAACTCTCCTTTACCCCATATTGACACAATCCCCAAGCCCAAATCCCCAATCCCACGACACTCTCCCCTCCTTCGCGGCTGCCTAGGTTTCATTCTCTCGGATCAATGACAAGGACGGCGATAGCGCGGCCGCCTCCGATGGACATCGAGGACGGCTGGCGCCGGCTAGCGGCCGGGTTCCAGAAACTGTTGCGCATTCTCGACGGGGAGGAAAGGCTATCCTTCTCGGGTGCCGAGTACAGTGAGCTTCTCCAGTATGGAACGCTGTTCTTCTCGACTTCCTTTTGCTTTTTTCTGTTCTCTTTGGGGTTTAATCTAACACACATTGACATGGGGCGTCTTCCGCGGCGTAGGATCACATATAAACTGTGTTACGAGAGTCCTGCCGGTCACGCCGCGGAGATGTATGATCGGTGGGATAAGACAATCAGGCATCACATCGTTTATCAGGTATGTGCCGCCTTTTCCGGTTCCCCCTGCCCCCGCGATTATCATCAATTTTTATTCTGCGCACCTAATCAATGTGTGAAGTATTCTCAGTTGCATCGATCGATATCTGTTAATCTGTTCCCAACCTGCTTAGCTTGTGTTTGATGCATCCTGCAGTTGCCCTTAGCTAATACCTGTGTGAGAGAACGCTCGCTGTTGATATCTTTATGTTCGTGTCTTTGTTACCTGATCATGCAGGTGCTACCGTCCCTCCAGGATATGCAGGGAGAGCCCCTTTTAAAGAACTTCGTTCATCACTGGGAAAACCACAAGGTGTTGATGAAATGGCTCAAATCCGTCTGCATGTACTTGCGATTGGCATTCACTAATCAGAGGTCACTTCCACCTATAATGGATATTGCTCTGAATTTGTTCAAGAACGTGGTAAGAAGCATATTCTGAAGTTTACACGTGTATTCTGCTGTGCAAAAGATTTCAGCTAAACCCATGCTGCCTACTGCCCTTGGTTGTAGGTTTTCGAAGAGTTAAATAAGAAAATGACAAATCATCATCGAAATGGTAATATCTTCCTCCTGCTTGTTTCGTTTTCTGACCGATTGTCCAAGATGCATAAAAGGATGTTACAATGGTGCTGGTGCATTGATTTACCAGATTGAGGAGGACAGGGCAGGGAAGGTTATGGATTGCAATTTGATCAAGATGACTCTCAGTGTCTAAGCTGAACTTGGTAGAGGTGGTAATGGAATGGATGTTTATGAAGGTTTCGAAGAAGTGTTCCTCAAAAACACAGCAGAACATTACTGAAGAAAGGCCCAAGCTTGGGTGTCCCGTGGTTCTTGTTCTAAATATTTGGTCAAGGTATCTACGTTAAGTCCTTGCAATATTCTCTGTAATCTAGCATACCACTTATTCTTTGTCATGAGTTTTATGTTCTGCAGGTGATAAAATCTATACAAGAGGAAGAGGAAAGGATCCAGAATTATTTGAAGCCATGGACTGAGGCAAGACTGTCAAAGGTTTGTGATAGGTTTATTTATTTTCCCATTTCTTCTGTGCATTTGTTAGCTTGTTTTCTTCACAAGCCTGTTTTATCATGTACGCATTCATTGCCTGCTCAGTTGGAATTTAACTTCCAACCCGTTACATTGAATACTTACAGACAGTACTCCTGGAATTAGTATCCAGGCAAGCTGAATGGCTACTTGATGATGATAAATCAGGTTTTAGAGGTATCCTTGCGGCAGAAAATGATCTGCTAGATGATGGAAAGGTTTGATAGAAAGAGACCAAAGCCTTACTATATGAGCAAATATGTAGAATCAGTTTAAATGAATATGTCTTTCTTACTACAGGGTAACGAACTGAACTTGATGTTCAGAGTTTTCTCCAGGATTTCTGGTGGTTTATTGTCATGGCCATAGCCTTCCAGCAAGTAAGCTATACTTCACATTATGCTAATGATATATATTTCTTTGTCAAGATCAGTGACCTTAATATGTTACTTTTGTACACTGCAGCATATTAGGGACATCCTGCAACAGGCAGTTGGTGCTGCACACATGGAAAAGGTGATGCATCTTGTGCTCGCACATTGTACTTCATATCCATTCTTGTTTCAACTTCATGTGGCCTTTTCCGTGATGGATGATTTCTGTTGCTAGTTTCATGTTCCTTGTATTGGTGTTCTGAACATCCAAATTTCAATAGCTTGACGTGTAAAATAATTGTGAAGATTTCAGTTGTGTGTAACATAATCATCAATCCTATCTTGATAACCCACTGACTGATCTATGATATTTTTCTTGTAAGTTGAAACTTTCCCCTTATTATTTAATTTCAAATTTGTCCGGCGAAAAATTAATTTCAAATTCTTTAAATGTGTTTAATATGAAGTGGGAGCACCTATATGATAACACAGATTGCTTTTATCGTATGAAACAGAGCATGGACCTTACCATATGTTGTTTTATGTTCTGTTTTGTTTTCTTACTTAATACATCCTTGCATATTGTATTCTTTTCTATACCTTGTTAAACAGTGTATTGCATGTTTAGCCGTCTTTGAGACTAACTGCTAAAGAGCATAATTATCACAAGATTCCACACCTATTGGCACATACTAACGCGATGGATTTACTAAAAAAAAAAGTACATGATGGACATACAAAAAAAAGGATAAGATAAAAAAGAACTAGATGTTATGAAAATAAGCTTTTTAAAGTTTGGATAAACCTCTACTCTAACCTAGGTAAATATGACTTAAGAGATATTGCTTGTTCTCCTTGTAAGAGTTGTCATATATCATTGTTCTGCTACTGCTATTACCATAAAAGTAATTTACTTGATTGTTTTACGTGTTAGTTGTTTTGTTTTTGGAAAACAGAGGGAGGCTCTCTATTTCATTTATTGATACCAAAGTGACAGTTTTGCCAGTTAGTTCGCTACTTAGCTTGTGTTTTACTTAACATAATTCTTCTATCTTAATATATGCAACAATCATGTTAGCCACCAGTTTATTATGATTTATATGCGCCACTTTTTTGCAATGAAATAACATATTATTTTGTTTTGTGCAATCCACAGGGTAAGGAACCATCAAATTCAATTGTAGAGGTCAGCATTTGTAGAATCCTGGTTTAAACGGAACTCCCCCCTCCCCCCTCCCCTCCCCCCTCTCATGTGTGTGGGTGCTTGCACACGTCTTTAGGGGGATTACTAATGCATAGCATCTTGATTTTAGGTATTTGTATTGAGAATCATGAAGGTTCTTCAAAAATACGAAGCGCATGTGATCAATAATTTTGACAATCACATTTTGTTTCGCAAGGTTTGCTTGGTTGGAATGACTCGATAGTCAATACTTTGAACATTGCCTTAGATCATTGTAATTACTTGCTAAAACATGATAGTATGATGTTGGTTACTAGGGAATTCTGTCTTTGTGCAGGCCCTGGATGAGAACTTTAGGATGATCTGCAACAGAAACATTGCTGATTTTAGTGATGGGGAATTTTTCATAATATTCCTTGAGAGACTCATTGAACAACGTACATGTGGCAAGCTAGACGATGACTCTGTTGAAGATACCCTTGCAAAGGTATGCTACTACTGGCTTGTTTTTGCAATTCTAAAGCTCACATCCCTAGGCTTACGGAAACAATTTGCCAATGTGGATACTGAATTTTCAGGTCGTTAAGCTTCTACCGTACCTGCACAGTAAGGATTACCTTGTTGAGCTGTACAGGTTTGTGGTTGCTTCTTTAACTTGGGAGCTATGGTTGTTTGACTCCTTAGAAGACAACTGAAGTTTGAGGAATCCATTTTCCCCCTGAAAATGTATTGCAGGAACAGGCTCTTAGGAAGACTATCCATTGGTTGCAACATTGAGGTCGAGACAAGCTTTATCACAAAGCTAAAACTAGTCTTGGACGTCTCAATCCTGGAAGATATGCTAGAAGATTATTCAATTTCAAAAGAACTACAAAAATTCTTCAAAGACTATATGAGCATGAACCCAGAATCAAATACTCTGGTGGACATGGACACAATGGTTCTGAAACAGGGTCATTTTCCTTCTCAACAAAAACAGCATTTATCGCTCCCCCCTGATATGGTGCCTCTCTTAACCATTTTCTAGTTCATTATGGAGTTATTTTGGTTATCCATATTTCTAATAAGGTAAGATCTGAGATGTTCTTTTTCTCAGCTCAATTGTGCTGAAGCTTTCGAGAAGTTCTATCAAGAGTTTCATGGACAAGCGACAGGAAATAGGAGGGGTAGAACGCTTACCTGGATCTATTCCCTTGGAAATTGCAATATTGTTGGAAACTTTGAAGGCAAATCAGTTGAGATGATTGTCTCACCAATGCAGGTGAGTTCAAATCCCTTAAGTTTGAACACAGAGCCACGCCCACATGGGCTAAGCATGACCTTTTTATGCCCTTGATCTATTTTTGCCAGGCTGCATTGCTGCTGCTATTCAATGAAGATGATCGATTAAGTTATAATGACATTGTGGCTAAGTTGGAAATCATGGACAATGATGCAAAAGTAATGCTGTATTCTTTATCATGTGGAAAGTACAGCATCCTAAAAAAGGAGCCGAGCAACAAAACAATTGCTCCAGACGACATATTTGAGTTCAACAATAACTTCAGTGTTAAAACGGGAAAGATAAAGGTGATCCTTTTGTAACCAGAACTTCTGTTAGCGCCTCTCTCTCTCTCTCTCTCTCTCTGAGGTGACTGTAATGTGTGCTGCAGGTACCGCTTCATCATGTTGACAGGGGTGATTTCCGTGCCAGTGAGACCATGGAAGATGTCAGGAGGTACCGGAAGCAAAATGTCGATTGCGCAATTGTGCGTATAATGAAGGATAGGAAGACATTGGATCATGAGAAACTCGTGGAGGAATGCAAGAAGTTGTGTGATCCTTATTTCAAGGTACTAACATACTACAGTATATCCTCCACTAAAGAATGCTTGTGGCAGTTTTCCTTAATTGCTTTCTGGCGCATTTTTTTTAGGCACGTCCTCTGGCCATATGTAGTGCAACTTCTGAAAAGATGTCCATTATTTGCATTTTTTTTTAGTCTGCACATGTGGTCGTTTTAGAGAACGAAACTGCTTGTGTAGAACAAAATTAGATTGATCTTTGGATTTTCTTTTAATTCATTTTTCTTTGTCGATGACGAAGTTTTCTTCGCTGCAGGTCGATGACGACCTCATACAAATGAGGATCGATCATCTTGTAGCCGAAAATTATCTTGCTCGCAAGGAGGGTTGTACGTACGAATACTTGCCGTAGCAACAGAAGACTTGAGGATCAATAGTGCTAGAAGCCAGTAAGAGGACATCGTAATGTTTTCCGCCGGCACTTAGCTTGTCCGTCCGGTTAATCAAGTGAAATCCAGGGCTTTTGCTGCATGCTGTGATACTGATACTGACACGCATTGTAATTATTCTCGTGGCGAGATGTGCTTGACTCGTTAGGAAAAAAAGAACTGTACGGATATTAAAGATAATGAAATGCTATAGTAGATTGATGTCCTTTTCTATTCTTCAACTCCCAACTTCAACTTCCTCTTTTTTTCATTAGCATGCTTTTCAAACTGTTAAATGGTGTATTTTTTTTTACAAAAGTTTATATATGAAAGTTATTTTAACAAAAAGAATAAATCTATTTTTAAATTTATAATAGTTAATACTTAATTAATTATGTGCTAAAGAGGTTTTTCATTTTACGTGCAACAAAATTCTCTCTCTAAGCCCCTTGATTGGTTACAAATCTTGTAATTTAAGCCCCTTTTGTTTCTTTAATACCTTTTAAATAATTTTCTTTCTTCTAATGAAAAAAATTTCTCTCAAAGTTTTGGAGACCGAACGGGGCCTAAGAGTCCTCGAGGGAGTTAAGGGGGAAGGTTGACTGGCCACTGGGCGCTCGCCCACGCCCCCGCACTGGCCTGGGATCGGTTTGTTTGGCCTGGGATCGGTTTGTTTGGAATATTCGTACAGTTCAGTATTTGAAGACGTAAAACCGACGAAGATACCAACGATCGAACTACAACGGAGTAAAAGCCGAAGAGAAAACCGAGCCCCGAAAAAACCGACGATTCGGCTCGGTGATTTTGTGCCCACCCCTAGCTGCATCCACTGCTCCACACCTCCTCCTCTGCTCTATGCTCCTCTCTCTCTCTCGCCCTCGGGCAAGAACCTCTCGCCACCACCGTAGTTGGCATCGACCACGACTGGAGCATCAATGACCGGAGCTTGGCCACCACACGACATCCCCGCTCTCGACCACTCACCTAGCTTCTATTTTAGGGGTGGCTGCAAGATCCCATTGCCCCGACCATAGGGCACGGGTGGCAGCAACCGACGACGGTGTGGATGAAGGCGTCGATGTCGGTGGAGGAGGAAGGATGGGGATTTGATGATGGTGGCCTACCTCTATTCTCCCCGCCACCCGCCACTGCCTACTCCCTCTAGCCTTGCTTTCTCCACCTACTTCCTTATGGGAAGAGGAGAAGATGAGGGGAAGAGGCTATTGACATGCGGGGTTCACATGGGTGTCATACTGACGCAGCTGTCACGTTGAACAAAACTGCCTAAGGACGGGTCTGTTTGGTTCACGGTTAGAGATGGCACTGGGGACCCATAACCCGAGACCCGATGGGTTTTTACTCTATTAGGAGCTAATCGTGTTCTAACTCTTATACTCATGGGTCCACTAATGAGCAAAAACTCCTACCCATTGGGTATATGGGTATGGTCCGTTCTTTACCCACCCGTACCCACCAACCCGTGGGTGAAAAAAAAACCCGTTGATTGAACCTAAAACTATTAGCAATATGAGTCTCAACGACTACTAAATCATAGCATAAAACTCCTTTCACATCTTAAGCATTGTTCTAGTCTAGTTATATAAAATTTTTATTTGATTTCTTGATTATATAATGCGGTTGTATAATTTTTTACTCACCTTTGAACGCTAATGTTAATAGCATTGTTGCTAGAGAAAATATCGATGGTTTACAACTCTAATATAGCTAGTTAAAGTACAAAACTATATAAATGCTACAAGTCAATTATATGGGTATGGATACCCGTTACCCGCACGGGTGTGGGTATTTAAGTGGGAATATTTAGACATTGCGGGTGTGGGTATGAGGCAAAGGAACCCGATGGGTATGCACCCGTTGCCATCTCTATTCACGGTCATACATGGACAAGATATGGCAATCCATATTTTGTTGGATATGGCGATCCAATTTTTTGTTTGGTTTGTATGGATATGGCGATCCAATTTTTTCTTTGGTTGAAGGGATATATCATGGATGGGAAAAGCCAAAAGTTAGTGGGACCCATTTGTCATATATATTTTTTTTATCAAAATATAATCATCCGAGATCTTATTTTAAAGATTTAATTATAACAAAAATAATGGTGTAATCAAATCATAAATTAGATAAACGGTTTAGGCGAAAAAAATCGTTTGAACCTTGCTTAACAGGAAATCAAACCAACCACAGCCAATCAGAATAACAAAACTGAATGGTTTCATCCAGCCAAATCGACCGGATGCACTCATCCAGTATATTGAGAGAATATTCCCTATTCTGGGCCGTCCCATCCACCCTGCCCTCCAACCAAACCGCACGAAAACTCGTGCGGCCATCTCATCCATCCAACCAAACACATCTTAAGTGATCCAATTTGGTAGGTTGAGGGATGTCATATATCTAGCTTTTCAGTTTAAGGATAATTTTATAACTCGATGATAAGATGAGGGACATTAGATTTACTCTTTCCAAATTAAACTGCAGTTAATAATCCCAAAACAAAAAAAAAAGATCATGGACATGATCCATTCAGAATCCTTAGGTAGGAACCGAAACTGATTGATATGGGCCGGCTAGCTATCCGTCCGAATCGGTCACGACTCACGTGGCTGAGAGAGAACAAGAACACCCACCCCATCTCCGTCACCAATGCGGTCTCGCGCGTCCTCGCTGCTCACCCGGGACCCTTCCACCGCGTCGACCTGTCCTGCAGCATCATGGAGGCACACCTCCCGGAGCTCGACCGCTGGCTCCAGCTCCTCGCCGCCAAAGCCGTCGAGGAGCTCGTCTTCGTCAACCGTCCCTGGCCCATCAACCTGCGCCTCCCGGCCACGCTCTTCAGCTGCACATACCTCCGACGCCTCTACATCGGCGTATGGAGGTTCCCCAACACCGCTGGCCTCCCCCAATGCAGCACCGCCTTCCCGCACCTGCTGGAGCTTGGCCTTTGCTGTGTACTCATGGAGGACCGCGATCTCGAATCCATTATCTCCAGGAGCCCTGTCCTTGAGATACTCACTGTGGTTCTCAGCCAGAACGTAGTGCGCCTCCGCTTTGTCAGCCACAGCCTACGTTGTGTGCAGCTCGGCTTCTCCTGCGTGGCGGACCTTGCAGCTGTGGACGCCCCATGCCTCGATCGGCTCTTACTGAGCGATATTTGGGCCACGGAAGGGAGAAAATTCTCGACGAGGATCAAGATCGGCCTTGCCCAGGGGTTGAGGTCACTAGGATACCTGGAGCCAGGGCGACACTTGCTGCAGATCGGCACCACCACCATCAAGGTGCAAACCCTCTTTTGTTAGTTCCCACTGCTGACAGTTTCGCCAAAATATGAACTGTTTTTGGTGGATTTTGTTGCAGGCTAGAACAAGAGCAACCCCAAGTACCATGGTTCCAAGCGTGCGGATCTTAGCATTGAAGGTGTACTTTGGTACCCTCAACGAAGCCCAGATGTTGTGCAGTTTCCTCCAGTGCTTTCCCAACGTCGAAACGCTGCACCTCAAGGTGAACCCACTCGCTCCACTTGATATTTGAGTCGTAATCGGTGTCTGATTGCTTTTTAACTACATGATCCATGATTGCCTTGCACTGGTTTAATTTTCAGTCTGACAAAGCTGACGAACTCAACAATGCCACTGGGGAGCACAAGGCCATGTTCTGGAAGGGAGCTGGTGAAATTGAATGTATCAAGTCACATGTTAAAAAGATGGTTTTCGATGAGTTCCAAGGGAAGCAGAGTGAGCTTGCCTTCATCAAGTTTGTCATGGAGAGGGCGCAGGTGCTGCAAAAGATTGATATTATTTCCACCAATGCAAGTTGCACAACTTTGGAGAAGAATAAGCTGGTTTTGAAGGCTCTGGATTCTGTAAAACCTGCGAGTAAAAATTGTCAAGTAGTGTACTCGACACATGCCCTTCTCGAAGAAGGCGGCAGTTGGAGCTTCCAAAGAGCATCTGATTTATCTCGTAGTGATCCTTTTGAGTTTTGACCACAGAGGTCTGAAACTCTAGCTGTTAATAATCTAGTGAATTAATTTATCTACATGCAAGACTTTGGGCTGTTTAGGTTCTGAATATTGCATGAGTAATGTATTCTGTACTATCATTATTAAGTTGAACTTATCAGGGATGAAGTTGTGAGCATTTCTGTTCTGTATGCAAAACATTACTACCACCAATATTTGTTTTGCTATATCTGCCAATTATCTCTGTTTCACCAAGGAATGAATTTTATAGTGGCAGTCGATATTCATTTTTGTATGAACTTGCTCAGAACAAACTTTGTTCCCATTTGATGTGTATTATCTGCGTCCGAATTGACTAAGGCATTGCTGCCAAGTCGATTGTTATACGAGTATATTTATCTTTGGTTTCTCTTCTGCTGTGTGTCCTTTTCATTATGGTCGATGCAAAATCCGTCTGGTTAAACAGCCGTGTGGTGCTGATACGGGCATACGGCCATACGGGTGAACCTCTGTTATGCGGTTTCGCCTGCTAGACGCTAGGTAGGTAGGTCTGAAAAACAAACAATATGCTTAGCTGCTTTTGCAAAGACATTCCCTAGTAAATGTTACTGTTCCACAAAATTGATAGACTATTTCATGCACGAATAAACTCAAACTTAGGTAAATCATTTCCTTTTGGCTCATTTTCTTTAGGCATTCACCGCACAATTAATATAGCAAGGCTAATCTGTACTTTCGATCGAAAAAAAATGAAAAAAAAAATGGATGAGATTGTGTACAGTACCTCTAACGTGCAGTTAGTTGTAGTTGGGACTGCAACCGATCTCAAATCAGAACGGATAGAAACACGGGGCGTTTCTATTACGCGCAGCTGCGCACGCGCCTCCGCACATTATATAAGATACTCTGGAGCAGCAACATGCGAGAGAAGTCCCACAATATATAAAAAAGCAATAGGCGAGATGAAACAGAGAGCTCGGAAGAACAAAATTGACGGGATGGAATTATGCAGTGAATGACTTCATGAGATGCATGCAAAGTTAGTGTGCATACTAATTCCAAGTCCGTGTTAAAATCCAATAAGCGGGTGTACCGGGAGCAGCAGTTTGGGTTCCCAGGTACAAGAGGTAACAACTTTGTTCAAATGCAATTACAGCAGCTATATTAAGGAAGTTGTATGACAAAAAAGGGGCACATTCAATCAGAATACGCGCATCTCCCTCACAACAACATGAAGTCATCAATCAAACATTTCAAATGGATCTTCGAGAGAAGTGTCTTTGGCTATCTCCAATAACCAATCGTATTTTTTCTGCCTCACTGAGATGTGAACACCCACTGCCTGCAATGAATCGCATGGCATGTTTTGGCACGAATCACTATAGCACTAGGGGTGAAAACGGTACGGAAACGGATGAAAACAACCTTTATCGTTTTCGTTTCCATATTTTTTTCGGAATCAGAATTGGAATCGGAAACCCCAGAAACGAAAACGGAAACGAATATTATCGAAACCGAAAATGAAGCGAAAACGAACCGGCGCGGATACGGTAACGAAAATTTATCGGAATACAAAAACCCCTCAAACTGAGCTTCAAACTTTTGTCAAGTTCAATTCTCAAGTCTTAACAGTCTACAATTCATCATAAAACACAATTATATGAAGTCTAATTGTTAAGTCTCAACAGAAAAATATATTCTTCTATAACTTCGTATAATTTGCATAACAAATATTCTAAAAAAATTACAGCAAAATACCATAGTATAAGGTATAAAGTATACACTATTAGCCCACAGCCCGCAGCCTCTCTCTCCCTCCATGGGCCGGCTTCCCCTTCCCCTCCTCCCTCTTTGGGCCGCCGGCCCAGCCCTTTTGCTCCTCCCTCGCCGAGAAGTCTATAATGCCTCCTTCCTCTCAATTCAAATATTTTTTAGGGTAGTAAATGATTTCAAATGAAAAAATTGTCAATAATAAAATTGTATAACTTATCAAGATCAACAACTTTTGTTTTTGTCATTTTGCTGTATGACTTTGTTTGAATAATTTGAATTTGAATTTCAAATTATGACAACTTCAAACAACATTTTCAAATACTAAATGATTTCAAATGAAAAAGTCATCAACAACAAAGTTGTATAACTCATCAATATCTATAAATTTTGTTTTGATCATTTTGCTATATGACTTTGTTTTTATAATTTGAATTTGAATTTCAAATAGTGACAACTTTAGACAATATTTTCAAGTACTAAATGATTTCAACTGAAAAAGTCATCAACAATAAAGTTGTATAACTCATCAATATCTATAAATTTTATTTTGGTCATTTCTTCATCCGATAACAATATATATAACAATGTTACTATCCCTTCATCCGATAACAATATCTATAACAAAAGACTATGAAGAGTAGAGAGAAAAAGGATGGTCTGAACAGGACTACACATCCCATGGTTTCAAACAGGATGCATTCTTCTGTGATGAAGGTCAAATAGTACAGTTCGATTCTTGTTTATGCAACTAACTAGTGATTCTTATTCAATCATATTGTAGGCAGGTACCACAGTAATTTTGATGACTGCAAAATATCCTAACAAAGAACATGTGGCATATGCTACTTTTATGAGTAGTAATCCAAGAGAGAAAGTGGGTGGTGTTGAGATAGGTAATCAATTCACAAAAGTGGTTGTTAATCATCCTCTTCAAGAAAACGAGGAGCTAGTAAGGCCAATGAAGCATTGCAAGACAATTGGTGATGTTCATGCTGAAGGAATGTCAATTGCTTGGCCTTCAATTTGTGTAAGCATGCATGCATACACAATATATTTCCACACTTTGATGAATCATTGATATCATATTATGTCTGTGCTATCATGACATCCTACTTTAATTTTTTGCAGATTCAAAAGATCAATGGTTAAATGATCATGATTCAGTGGCCTACTCAAGATCTAATCAAGAAGCATGGGAATTCATAGAGATTGGATAGGCATAGATATATTTTCTATATTTTTGCATTTTTAATGTAGCTAGATGCCTAAAATATATACTCCTTTTAAAGATCTTCAAGTTTGTTATGGATGTTATGGAATGATGTAAATAGTACCTATATTTAAATTTTCTTATTGAAATTCAATGTTATCTACTCATTCGTGGTCATTGCCCTTGTGTGATGTCTTGCTAATTCCTTCTCCAAAGTTTGTGAAGATAATACAGAGCAGTTTACTATTATAATAATATTGAATTAAAGGCACCATTCGTCATATACTATTACTATGTTGCAGTATATAGAAAGGTGTTACAAGTTTGTTGCTGGAACTAGAAAAAACGTGTTATGTTACAGTGTTGCTATAAGTGCACAAAGGTGTTACTATGATCTATTGTAACAAAATAACATATGTTACTATAACTTTTTTTGGTAACACCTTTTCTTATTTTTAAGGACATCTACATGTGTTACGGTATACCCAGCTATAGTAACATAGGCTATAGTAACATTACATAATTGTGTTACTGTAGGCACTAGTAATACATTTTTGGGGTTATTGTAACACAAAAATGTGTTACTATAAACCTGTCCTGACGTAGTGTATCTTGTTGTGCAATGTATATTAGGTAATGTATGATGTTAACAGTTTTTTTAAAAAAATCCAATCCATTTTCTTAAATTTAATAAAGTATTGATGAAGCAACTTAAGATGCATCTAAACAATGCTATCAATGCTCTTAATGGAGGAGCAGCAACCTGAAGGGTACAATCACACCCATATATTCTGGTATTTTTTTATAATGGAAATGTGTTAAGGGGTAAATCAACGTGTACCAGACCTTTAGATAATTCTATATCATTTGGTTGTACAATGCAAATCATGAAAATTTTGCTGTAATTTTTGTCATTTGCCTTCCAGGAATTTAGGATGAGTTCAGCAAGTCATAAGATTGATCAGAATTACTACCTCTTATGCCATTAGGCTTTAAGTTTACTAGTTGGCACCCCGCGCCTTGCTGCGGGATTTGCTAGTTTTATCATCGAATAAAATCAATGTTTTAAATGATTAGATGCAACTCTTTGTATATACAAAATAAATGATAATGCGGCTTCATATATAGCTTCTGTTATTACAATATAATTCATGTTTTATTTTTTGAAACATCATTGTGTATTGTTATGATATGTGAAAGTTGTTTTCATGCACAATCTGGATATCGTTACAATTAGGTAGTGTAGCACTTATCTGCTTCATCTCAAGCATGTTTCAAAAATGAGTTTGGATTAATGATACCTAGTTATTGTATGTTATCCAATTGTTTATAACAAAACAAAGCTCACATCTTATGTAATAATTGGAGTTGTATTTAGAAAAAAAAAAGATTAGTATTGTCTTTGAGGATTTGGATGTGCAGAATGTATAACAATGTCACGCGCGATTATGAGCTAAAGGGAGGTGAATGGATGAGTAATCAATGATTAAATTAGATGGATGAGTAGCTAACTTCTTGATCCAACGGGTGATAACTCTATACTAATGCGATCCGATGGCTTAAAATTATTGATGATGTAACTTCTTGCATGTCTTGTTTTATAGGAGTAAATGATTCTTAGTGGGTAACAACTATATAGGAAGATATGATATGGAAGGGGTGTGGATTGGCAGCATGCCTTGAATAATTCCTCTTAAGGTCACAAAACAATTGACCTTCCTAGTTTGATTGATTGGTGGTCTGAGGATGAAATGCAATTATAATTTTGTGTATGAAGTTTTTTCTGCAACTTTTCAGTATTTACCATTTTTCGTCATTGATGAGTGAATGATAGTATCAGATATTAGTAATAGTGAGACTCAGAAACCGCGCTACTATCTCAACATGTGTTCCTCGGTCGAGGAGCGACCTCGATCATTATCTGTGTTGTGTTTTCATAGTCTTATTGACTTGGCAATGGAAACAATGTATAAAAAGTACTTTGTATGATAGATATTTTTATTAGTCATTATAGGTTATGAACTACCAGAACTTACAGATACCATATTCTAGACAAGGATGATATTTACACAATGCATGCTGATAAAAAGATTTATGCGCCTATAATATGCTCATCATCCATCAAAAAATGGAGTTAGCAGATGCATCACGTACGCGTAGAAAGGCTAGATGCTGGTGTTGACATATTCCAACCGCCGCCGCCTGTTAACGAGGAAGTCACGGTGAGCGAACAAAGCACATCGTCTAGTGAAGCATGCCGAACACGATGACGTACACGATGTCGTGCCGCCATGTATGTTTCTTCCATGAGGTGGATCGATTTGTCAGCAGCCGAATCTCGCATGGGAAATATCAGGGGAGATCGACCGAATCGCCGCAACCCATCGCCACGGTTGAAACAAGAGTATACTACCTCCGTCCCAAAATATAGCCACTTTTAGATTCATAAACAAAAGTGGCTATATTTTGGGACGGAGGGAGTATATGCTAGCAGCTCAGCGCCGTTGCTAGATCCGATCATTAACGGGACGTTTGGTTAGGAGGGGTTTTTACAAGTGATTAGGAGCTTAGAGATATGAGGCTATTAATTGTTCCGTTCGGTGGAAGATATGGAAGATTTTGGTAGGATGATAATGGGGAATTGAGAAAGTAATAACTCCCTCTTCAATACTTTTGGGTATAGGGTGGTAATTGGGAGGAAATTCCTCCTTTACTTTGCCTAAACAAATATGACCATCCATTTTCATTTAAAATCTAATCTCAAACTAAACTCCCTATTAATTCCCACCATCTCTACCAAACAAGATATTAGAATTAAAAATCAAATTCCCATGTTAATCTCATCATCAATTCCCTACTCCAAACTCTCAATCCTCTTCTCTCCAGTTGTCAGTCAAGCCGTAAGGGATAATTAACAATTCCAGCAATTTATTCTGGAAAAGAAAAAACCAAAGCATGTATGGTGGATCTGATAGCAAGGTCGTGGGTGCTCAATCGGTGTCCTGCACTGATCAATGGTGGATCGGGAGCAGGGCAGGTACTCTCAGGTGTATATAACCATTTTTTCTATATATGGTGGATAGAACCATATATCTCGTAGAAATGATGGATAGACTTTTTGAAGTGAAATGTTATGGATATAATGCCTCGCGCTTTACCGTGAGATATATGAATGAAGATTTGTTAAACGTTAAATTATGGATAGATTTGGTTTGAGTGAAATGTTGTGGAAATGGTACGAGGAATGATAATTTCTCATGTTTATATATTAAGGTTTAGAATCTACTACTAATTTAGATGTAATTAGAGCAAGTTTAATAGTATAGTTAACAACTAGCACCAAATCATATATATAGCCAATACATACAATAGTTACCTATAAACATATACTACAATATTAATAATCGGTCCCACTTATCATACACACGTTTTGCCTTGGAGTCCATGCTGCAGCTGACTACGAATCTGTAGCTTGTTGTTTTTCTCTTTTCTTTTATTTTCTCGATATGTGTTTATAGCTAGCTCTTACTTTATTGTACTGCGTTCTAGGGGAGGTGAGAGTGAGTTGGTTTATTTCGTTTTTTCGTGCACGCTTTTTAAACTATTAAACGGTATGTTTTTTAAAAAATAAATTTCTATATGAAATTTACTTTAAAAAAATCATATTAATCCATTTTTAAAGTTTAAAATAGTTAATATTTAATTAATTATATATTAATGGCTTACCTTATTTTATATATCTACTTAATATGATCAGTTTAGAAAGTTTTTACTAAGTTTGTAACAATATATGCCTCCGTTCCTCGGGTTTTCCAACCCAAGTACACCCCAGCAGAAACGGCGCGTATCACCCCCAAAAATCCCCGCGAATCCTCCCCACGCGCCCCGCCCTCGAACCGGGCGCGCCACCGGTCAAGGTCAATCTCCCGAATCGACGTGACGGAAGCGGTGAAGAAGCCGCCTGCGCCTGGGCTTCTGTCTGCGGTTTCGTCGTCACGGAATCCTCCGAGAAAAAACCGCATCCGTTTTCCTATCTCCTCTCTTCCTCCCTGCCTAGCGAAAGTCTCCCCCCCTCTCTCCTTGGCCTCTTCCTCCCTGGTCGGTAGCGCAGCACACGCATCCGCGTGAACCCATCCTCCTCCCTCCTTTCCAATCTACCTGCACCAACCGGAGACGCCCGCGCCCAGCTACCCCTCGCCTGCCCCCCGCGCCTCGCGGGAGCCGATTCGATTCGAATCTAGGTACACAGAGAAGCGGAAGCGGCAGCGGCGGCGGCGGCGGAGGCGGAGATGAACAGGAGCAAGGCGAAGCTGTCCGGCGTCCTGCACAAGGGCTTCAAGCCCGACAAGTGGTCAGTTTGCCCGCCTGCCCGAGATCATCTCGCCCTCGCTAACTCTCCGCGCGCGTTTGTGTGCGCCGCGGAGGCGCGTGCTTGCAAGGGCTAACAGTTTTTTTTTTTTTGGGTCTCGTGGATGCCGCAGCAAGACGGCGCTGCGGATGGCGCTGGCGCGGATCAAGCTGCTGAGGAACCGCAAGGAGGTGCAGGTGCGGCAGATGCGTCGAGAGGTCGCGCAGCTGCTCGAGGCCGATCAGGACCAGACCGCACGCATCAGGGTACGCCTTCCCTTGCCTCCGTCTCTATCGCGGTCTCAATTTGTCTCTTTAGCTCCCCCAATTGATGACGGAATCGGGTAATTGGGGTGCCTTGACGCGGAATCAGATGGGCTTTGGATGCTAGCATCAATTGTTTAGCCGCTTGCGCTTGGTCTTAGTGTGCCTTAGGTGTTTATATGGGAAAATTTTGTTAGTTACTAGTAGTAGTGATGTTTTACGAATGATCTGCTCGCTTTGGATATGCCGATGAACTACTGCAATTATAAGTGGAATTGCCATAGAAGTCCTTGGGCCTGTTGGCCCTGTATATGCCTGCTGGCTCAAATGCAATTCATTTTTATGTCTTGACAGAAACCATTTACAATTCGTTCTGTAGCAGTGCCATCAATTTGGTCACTGTATTGACTTGCTCCGTTGAACTCTTGAATTCCATGAGAGTATTGGATTCTTATCTGACAAGTGTTTGGTTTTGCCTCTCGGTAGCTACATTACAACGAATGATTCGTTTTTTAGTTCCATCCATTTGAGTATTTGGTTTTTCTTTACTTTTACATGCCTGCTTGTTGCGAATGCATGTGTCAAGTATTATCTTGCTGTGAGTATATTATTAGGGCATCCTGTTGGGTTCTGAGCCACAGAGTGACCAGCTACTTGTTAGTGAATCAAAGACGCACACACAGTCCTAACGTGTCTTGATGGTACTTCCTGACCAAAGGCTCATCTATTTTCTTTTTGGCCCGTTTTGCTTATCTTTTTCCACAGGTTGAACATGTCATAAGGGAAGAGAAGTTCATGCAAGCATATGACTTAATTGAAGTATACTGTGAACTTATGGTGGCACGCATGTCCATTATTGACTCACAGAAGTAAGCCATTTTCCCCTTTATTGTATATAATGCATATAGCCAATTACTTGCTGGTCTATTTATGTTTCTTATGTCAGAAATTGCTTCATTATCATAGATAACAGAAGCATATTTTGTTAGTTGGAGGACTACCTCTAACATAGCTTATTTCTTGTCGATATGATTTCTTAAGTTGATACTAAACAATTTTTTTCATGTTATTAGCAACCTTCAGATTGTTTCTTATATCACAAGAGTTACTTTTTTCTTATAAGCAAAGCATGATTTTGCCTGATTGATATGGGCCTCCTAAAACTGCTTATAATCCTGGCATCCTCTTTTTTTTTCCTCGTGAGTGTAATCTGGAAACTGAACCCACTTTATTTTTTTTGTGGCACAGTCATATACTACTTAGTTACTTGCTGGAGATAAATGTAAATTCCTTATGTCTTCCAATTGAAACTTCCCTGGTTCCAGAGTGGAATGTTTTATGGACTCAATTCTGCCATATCAAGTTAGCCTTATTTAGCTGAGTTCAATTAAGCTTCCATTATCTGAAAATATCAAGTTAGCCTAGACATGAGTTTTACGCTCCAAGTATTATTTCATGGTTTCAAAGGAGCTGAATCCTCCCATTTACTCATTCTCATCTTAACTAATCAAACTATTCTAAAATAGTCTAATTAAGTCAAGTGCTACCAACTCTATGGCAATTGGCACACTCATTTTAAGAAATACAAAATAATAGCCACTAAGATGAGTGCTTCTATGCTTTCTTAAACGAAAACTATACAAATCGATTGTCTAATTATAACATACTAATGTCCAGGGTGTTAGATGCTCATTGCATCTTAGTTATCTAGGACCTGTGCTGTGGCGCGACCTTTTAAGATAATGACAGGAAGAAAAGAGCTTAGATAAAAAATAAATTGAGATTAATATTGATTGAAAACTATGCATTGTTTTGGTTTTCTTAGTTAATTTATTGGTTTTATGGTTTCTGTTCCCCTGGAACTGATCTGTTCTCTTCCTTTCCTTGTTTATGTGGTTTTTACCTGAAGGACTTGCCCTATTGATCTGAAAGAAGCCATAGCCAGTGTTATATTTGCATCAATGAGGTGTTCAGATGTCACAGAACTTGCAGATGTTCGCAAGCATTTCACAAGTAAGTATGGAAAAGAGTTTGCAGCAGCAGCTCTTGAAGTGCGACCTGACAGTGGTGTCAGCCGACTGGTAATTTATGCTGCTTTTAGAAGTATTTTGTATGGGAAAATAATTTCCTTACTTCTGTTGGCCTGAATAAATATATGCCATGATTATAGCTTATGTTTGTAATAATTGGATACAGGTCATTGAGAAGCTGTCAGCTGGAGCACCTGATACACAGACCAAAATCAAAACCTTGACCTCTATTGCAGAGGAGCACAACATCAAATGGGAGCCAAAAGCATTTGAGGAGAAATTGCCGAAGCAAAATGATGATCTTCTGGTAAATTAGCTGACATAAAAGTTTATTTAAGCGTTCAAGTATTATGGTTCTAACTGGATTAATCATTTGATGATTTAGCATGTGACCTCAACATATCCGGGAGGAAATATTCCAACTAGGGGATCATCTGCTTCTAATTCTGGCATGCCAACTTCACAGCCTGCTGCACCTTCTCATTCATATATGGAATCTTCCAATTCTCACATGTCTACGGCACATTCATATTCATCAGCTGAGGTTCCAGACAATAGGGCTCCATATGTCACTGCCAATTCTAATGCTTTCCCCCAAGAAAACAGAAGGGGTTCTGATGCTCCAATGTCCCCTAGGTCCCAGCATGGTCCTAACAGTTTCTCTCATGATACTGCTGGAGGTTCAAATGTTTCTAGACCTTACTCCCAATATGGTGCAACAGTTCCAGATACAGGTGAAGGTCATATAATCTGAACATTACCAATTTTTTAGTGCTTTCTTGTTCATTCCTAGTTTAAATGTTATTTTCAGATACAGCGTCCAGGAGGGAAGAGTTCAATCACTCTAGGGAGAGAAAATCTTCAGTTAGTGGTTCCAATTGGAATATAGAATTCAAGGATGCAACATCTGCAGCACAAGCAGCAGCAGAGTCCGCAGAGATGGCTAGTATTGCTGCTAGGGCTGCTGCCCAACTTGCTAGTCGTGGAAACCTTTCTGCGGAGCAAAATACTGGAGCTTTTGAGTCACCTGCTTATACCCATGAAACTACACCCAGGAAGCAACAAGCTGAACATTTAATGAAGGATGGGCAGAGGAGTTCTAATGAGCAGAGTTCAGGGGCTTATGATCCAAGACTCATCTCAAGTAATGATGCTAGGAAGGATGGGGGGAGAACAGAAACAAGCCGTGTAGGTAGTCAGAATATGCCAACTAATTCCTTGGGTCAATCCCCACCATATAGCCCTCATATTCACAGTGATGAGTATGACATGCCAACTGATCCGCATCGTTCTCATTCACCCGATCCTCAATATTCTGATGATTCATCTGAGAAAGAAAGCAACTTTGGAAGACCTGAGGATCATCAGTTTAATTTACCTGGAGAAAGATTGTCCGAGGCTCAACTTGGTGGGCACAACATCAAGGACACGGAAAGCAAGCATGCTACCTTTGATCAAGAGAACACAGACAACTACTACAGCAACTATAGCTCTTCCCATGGTACATTCACCCATGGCAGCAGTACCATTTGGGACAGTCAGAATGATAAAGCTGGACCTGATTCTTCAGCTGTTGTTTTTGATCAATATGATTCTGATGTCGGAGAAGAAAATTTATTGGATCCTTTCTCTTCAAAGCACACTGAAGAACCCACTGTTGAAGATCACAAGGGATTCTCAAGTGCAGATTGGGGTCAACAGCATAGAAATGAATCTCCAGTTAATCATAGCAGCTCAACACTATTTTCAGGAACAGAAGCAAACAGAAAAGATGTTTCCTCACCTCATTCTTATGATAATGTGCCACCTACATTTGACTCGGATGGTGTTAGTTCTGATGAGGAAATGACCACAGGCATGCATGCAAGGTCTTTAAGGTCTCATTCCAGAGGATCCGATTTTTCCGAGAGTAGAGAAAATATAATTTCTGGAAAGGTTGTCCATGATGTTAATGAAAATATTGAAGATCATGTATCCATGTCCAGGAAGAATTACCTTAATTCATCTGGTTCTAATGCATTCAATAAGGAGCGCTACAGTGAAAGTTCACCTAGATCTGATTACTCATGGGTTGATGGGGAATTGGATCGTACAAAAATCAGAGATCTTGAAGAAGAAAGAGTGCCACATAAATTGGAAGGTGCATCATCATTGACAACAGGAGAAAATAAGAATCAGCTGTTTTCTTTAGGCAGGCAAACTTCAACATCATCTGCTGACTATGATGAAGGCGATCCAGGCTTGAACTTTGGAAGGCTAACTCCTGGACTAAGAAACAAACTCCGGCAACCTCCTCCGTACATAAAGGATTCTGGGAATACCTCGTTGCATAAGGTTCCTACCGCCATTGAAAAATCAGTGCACTCTGAAGAGGATACCTCGTTTGGAAATACAAGAAATACTTCTACAGGTATGGCCAGGAGTTCGTTCGGTGCAGATTACAACAGTGAACTTCATGACCAAAATCAAAGTGTTGGAGCAAGTGTGGAAGCTAGATCAACCATGAGGAATTACTATGGGTCAGAAGGTGATAGAGGGAAGTTATCTGAGCAATCTTATAATGCTCCAAGTTCTGTGATGAATAAGAGTTCTGGAGGTGTAAATTCCAGTCAAGATCTGTACCATGAAAAGCCAGGTGCTGGAGCCCGCAGGGGAACTACAACAAAAACTGCCAAAAGTTACTTTGATTCAGATGATAGCGAGGACGAATTGGCACAACGCAAGGAGGTCCAGACAAAGTGGTCTAGAGAGCAGATTCAATCACGCAGGACTCAGATGACATCAGATACAAAGAAAGAAACCGGTGTCCGAGTTGGAGTGCAGCATGCTGATGAAACTGAGGCGAAATCACCTGCTGGGTCATTTTCTAGGTTTACTGAACAAAGGAGAGACTCACCTGTGTACTCCAGGGTTCCAGTACCACGAACTTCACCAAAACCTGTGCGTGTGGAACCTCCCTTGGGCAAAGGGAAGTCACAAGAAGCTGATCTGAATACAGTTTCTGTCACAGGAAAGGAGGAAAACACAGAAAGCCCAGCAGAAACTCCGAAAGAAAGCACCTCAAAAACTGCTCCGTCGCATGTTCACCCCAAGCTTCCGACAGACTATGATTCGTTTGCTGCACATTTTATGTCTCTTCGGACCAATCGCCGCTAGTTTTATGATCGCATACCAGTTGAGTTTTACATGTGAAGAAGTCGTATTTACAAACACAGGGATACATACATTCTATAGCTTCGAGTTGACATTTGTACAGTATATCAACTCATAGCACTCGGTCTTATATGTTGGTCTTTTTGGCGAGCTATTATTCTTTCGTTCTATTTTGGCCTCATGTTCATCACATCTTAGGTATTGTCATTATGAAAGGATTGTTAGCGTGTAATAAGCACATTATGCAGTCAGATGTACAGACGTTTACAGAACTTAAGAGGTTTACCTTTTTTCATATATTCTGTTTGAAAAAGGAACCTGTTTCCATATATTCCATACCATCCCAGCTAGTTGCTAGTACTTACTACATTTGTTCAACATGAGTTTTGATTAACATATCCAGCTTTATCTGTCCAGCTAGTTTTTGTTGATTTATGCAAGCCTTGGAGGATTGAGACTGGCAGCCAACTGGAAAGCAGTTGGCAGTGCTTTGAGATTTGATTTATGCATGTCATTTGAGATTTGAGAAATTCCTTGGATGCTTTCAGAAAATGTTGGAACTGGCAGCCAACAGGAAAGCAGTTGGCAGTGTTTTGGACTTTTACTGCTTGACATACAGTACCGTATCTTAACTAATGAAAAGTGAAACTCAACATGTAATTAGAATTTGCCACACCATCCAATGAATATTAGTTATCGGATTCACTAAATGACAAAAAGCTAAAACAAATTTTGATTATAGGATGGAACTCAAGTAGTAATAAAAAAACATATGGTGTTCATTGATAAACCCTTCTAGCTTCTAGCAGGTAATAGAAAGAGCTACTTGCTTGAGATGGCAGAAAGGTATTGCAATTTACAAATAGAGATATATAGTCGCTTACTTTAATCAAAACATAATGTATATAAGGAGACAAGTAATTACATGTGGACACATGGAGCTTGATGTAGAGAGATGTGATTCTACTTTTGCACTTAGTCATATAATAAATTGTATAAGTACAAATCAATCATTTGCCTATATTTATATTACAACTATGTCTTCAAATTCAGATAATTGTAAACTAAACTGTGCAACCATAGTATTCTAAATTCTACAGATTTAATTAAACATGAGTATTCCTAACCTTAAGAATACTCAAAATTGTATATCTATACAAGTGTATATCCATATGATTAATTTAATTTATATCAACCAATTAGGTTTCGAATAGATGTTTTATACGTTTTGAATAACTAATTATTTAATTTCATATTATCGTTAATATATTATCTTGCACACCATTTATAACATGATGGTTATAGTCACACGAATGAGCGATTTCATGCATTAGTTGTGTAATGATATAAAAATGATAATGAACCTTCAGCATTGTCGTAAGTCGTAATGCATATTTTCTGGATATATCCTCACTAGGTGAAAAATGATATTACTACAAATATTGACCTAAAAATAATGTGTAGGTTTGACCAGGGTTACAGATTTTGCACTGAAATTTCCCGTTTTTTTTCGGCCCTACCAGTAGCGCCAAGCCACCAACAGGAAGCTTTTTCGGCCAAAAAGTTCGAAATTCTGAATTTTAGCAAATTATGTTCAGATTCATCCAGGTTTCACTACTGTTGAAGCCAAAAATATTTCCTTTGGAGCGGGCGGACTGAAAATTCTAGAAATACTTTAGTAAACTTTATAATTTTGTTTAATATCATTCGATGTTTACTGTCATTGTTCTAAAATTTTTCGTGCAAACGACAGTCAAGCGGGGTCGGAGTTTAATTCCCCGACCCCCTTGTACCATCTTTGAACTGGAAACTTGAGTTCACGTGTCCCACTAACGTGGGCCTACAGCCCATCCAACATCGTCCGCTACCAAACAGGCCCATTCCACCTTACTACAGGCTACAGCCCATGAATTGGCCACCCACCTCAAGGCTAGGGTTTTTTTTTCAGCGCCGCGAGATCGTGACCCCGGAAGGAGGCAGATCGGCGGCGCGCGTCACTCCAATCTCCGGTAAGAAGAAACCACTCATTGCAATCTTCTCGTAGCATGGCTTGTTCTGTAACTTCTGTTGGCGTTAGCCTGTTATGCGTTCGTTTCGCTGCATGAATTGATCAGTTTAGACTCCATTTTTGCGATTTTAGCTTTGCCCTCTCCATCCATCCAGTGCTGGTGGTTTACTTGAATTAGATCATTCGACGTTCGTAGCTACGCTCGCTTTGTTACTGCCCAAATGCTTAGAGTCGCTTGAGACGTGCTGGTGTGGGGACATTTAACTTTTGGCCACTTTCAAGATGTGACAATTAATTATTTACCACTCGCTGTCTATAATATGTGGGTCTTCATGTGTCTATGGTATGTGGGTCCAGTGATAAATCATTTATCACCATCCGCTAATGGGATATTCACTGGTCTGTTCGGAAATTGGAATTCAGGTCTACGATTTGTGTGTTCGATTCTTATCATCATATATATGCTCGTTTAGGCCATGTTCTTTTCAGCTTTTGGGTTACTAGCTTATTGCCGGCACGTTTTTGAAATTGCTAAATGATATTTTTGAAAAATATATATATATATCTTAAAAAAATTCAAACGAATCCATTTGCTAAGTTTATAATAATTAATACTAAATTAATCATATGCTAAATGGATGTCTTCTTCGGTAAGTTAAGGAGCTAATTGCTCCAACCTCTGAATAGAACGCCATTGGTGCTACAAGAATAAGCAAGCTCTAGGTTACGGTGAAATGATACAAATTACATCAGGGGGAAGAGGTTCTGAGGGAGGAAGAGATGGTTTCCTTCCAGGCGGAAACCACAATACGATCGCTTACATTTAGCCTTTCGGCCCATAAGGAGGCCTCATCTAAACATTTGGCTACCAAAGGGGAAGAGACTTTTGCATACCCCTAAAAATTACATCATGGCGGTGATTCCATAGCCCCCAAAAACAGAGAAGAAAGAAAACTCTGAAATGCTTGGTTGGGATGGAGGGGGGGCTCTGAAGAGTCGCCAAATCAGACATGGCGGCGATATCTGTCTGAATTCCCATCTGCCAGAAGGACACAGCTCTTATATTAGGAGTCTTATATTTGTTCCTGTTTTGTTCCATTTCGGTTTTGGATTTCATCCGGGTGTTGATGTGGATTCTTTAGGTTAGGATAAATGGCCACGATTCCAGATTCTCTGGTCTGGGAGCTTGTCAAGAAGAACAATTCATTCCTGGTCAAGCAGTTCGGCAATGGCAATGCCAAGGTTCAGTTCAGCAAGGAGCCCAACAACCTGTACAATGTCCACTCTTACAAGCATTCTGGTAATTAATGGTTGGTTGGCATGCTTCTCTTGATATGCATGTCTCCCGTGGCACTCTCTTGAGTCTTGACTGGTTGTGCTGTTCATTTGGTCTTTTCAGGCCTGGCAAACAAGAAAACCGTGACGGTCCAGCCTGCCAGTGGTAAGGAAACGGCAGTGGTCCTCTCTACAACCAAGACAGAGAAGCAGAACAAGCCTGCTAGCCTCTACCACAAGTCTGTCATGCGCAAGGAGTTCCGCAAAATGGCCAAGGCTGTCAAGAACCAGGTATTAGCACCAGAACTTTATGGTGCTTAAGTCAGCCTGTCTAATTGTTTTTCATGTTGATTTAATTGGATATCTAAATTCTCACATCAAGCTTATAAAAATGATGTGATCATTTGATGAGTCCTAACATATTAAGATGCAAAAAGAAGCTTATAAGCTTCTGCTTCTGTTTTTTTTTTTTTGGTTTCAAGTTTGCAAATTCTGCTGCTGCTTCAATAGCTTGCTGATTTTCTGACTGTTTTGTAGCATTTCAAAGAGTGAGTATTTGTTATGATGTTTTTGTTCTCTGCTACAATGGAATCAGTACTTACAATTTTAGAAACTGCGTGGTATTATTTGATATTGTGCTATTTTTGTTATATTGCAGTTGCTGTGATGAGCCTTAACATGTAAGAGGATTCATTCATTAAGGATTGGTGCTTCTATGCAGTATATACTTGTTACGCTTTGCTTTCGAGCAACCCTTTGTTCATACTCTTTTTGTGCCCGCTATTCAAGTCACCTGTTTGAAATATCCTGGAGCTTCACTGAGCTTGTTTCATGCTGGTTCTTACTCTTTTATTAACTGTTATTGTTGCATGCTGGTTGTTTTGAATGGAATTCTGTAAAACTTATTGTATGCAACCTATTATTCTGCTAGAGCAAATTGGTAATCCTTACTTTGGCTAATCTAATGAATTTGCTTCTTGCTTCAACAGGTCAGCGACAACTACTACCGGCCTGACCTTACCAAGCCAGCACTTGCAAGGCTGAGCGCAGTCTACCGCAGCCTCCAGGTTGCCAAATCTGGTGTCAAAAAGAAGAACAGGCAGGCAAACTAAAAAAAGGCAAGATCCAATTAGCTTGTTTTGTGTATGGGTATTGATTTGTGCTTCCATCCTCCTTGATTCCTTTTAATATGGTGCTCGGAGTATGCTTTTAGATTGTTTTGAGATTATGGGCCTCAGAGTATGACGAATGCTGCTCACAAGAGAGCTAAAAATTTTCGTAGTAGGTTTCATGTCTGTACCCGTGATATATTATTAAGCATCTTAATTAATAGGGTATTAATAACCTCCCTAAAGTCATTGGTTTGTTGTGCCATATCATCTATAATCAAATTGCCATGCTTCAATTTTCAACGATGTTTTATTTCAGCTTTGTTTTTGACGAAAAGCTAATTGGTCTCTGGTATTGATTCTGTGTGCCGAACGTGCTAGTCTGGAACTTGAATTTGTCTTGTGATCGTGCGATTGTGCGATGGATATTCCTTCTCTTTCTGTGTATCGTATGCTTCGCACTTTCTACTTTGAAGTTTGAACCATTGGATCAGTTCGAGTTTCCTTCTCCATTGAATGACTACGAATTTGTTTAAATATTTGCATTCCATCTTCTGCATTATAAAATAGAATAAAGCTGCCAGTTGAGCCTGAAAGGTTGAAAGCAGCATGAGCAGGGAAGCTCATACCCCGGAATTCAAATTTTGGGGCACGTTTATAATTCAAATCCAAAGACGAATTGGACTCCTATACCATATATCTCCCGCGTGCTGTATCCTGTATCCCCCTTGCGTGCACCGGAAATAGCTAAATCGATATGCGCCGCGCGAAAAATCGTTGGCTTGGACGCGAAAGCGAAACCTTGGAGCATCTTGGAAGGAACCAAAGGAGCCAAACTCACACTCTTCACCAGCCGTGCGGGACACTATAATTTCTACCCCTCGCCGAGTCGCCGTATAAAACACCCAAACTCCCCGCCGATGTCTCACCGGAAAGCCGGCGGCGACACATGTCGGTCGGCGAGAAAGCGGCCGGCGACGGCCAGCCGAAGCCGCCGTCGCGCAGCGCGCGGTTCGACCGCCTCTTGTCCGGGCTGGGCGGCGGGCCGCTCGTGGACATCGAGCCCGACAAGGTGAAGGGCGAGCTCCGGCGGTGGGCCAGGGCGGTGGCGACGATGGTGCGCCAGCTGAGCTTCGGCGCCTGGCCGGAGAAGGGCGGCGGCTCGTCGGAGCAGCAGGAGGCGGGCGACGGCGGATCGCCTGGCTGAGCCGCCGATGGCGTTGCTTCACTTCACACGCGTCAATACGGAAAAGGAAGCACTGGTGCGGTTGGCAACAGTTGTGACAAGCAGCAGATGATGCACATTCCAGTTGATTCGTTACATTGATTACATTTATTCGTTCAAGCGACAGGCGACGGAGGCTGTAGTATGTATCTCCAAATCTCTTCTCCATTCTGCCAGACATAACAAATTTGGGTTGCATAAATCATGGCAGTCATGTGAATAGAAATAAACACGTGCATCGCAATTCTCATGTAAGTTGATCGAATTATTGTATTCCAAACAAAAAGACTCTGCGCACACCTTCATTGAATTTACCTACGTATCACCATGCCTGATTCTTTCTGTGCTCTAATCTTTGTTAGTGAAATCTATTCTAATTTCAGATAATACACAGCACATACATGGGGGGATACATCCCCAGTTCAACTCAACAAATATATATAGTTAGAAGGAAAGGAACACCCTTGCATTCTTACATTGATGTTGCAGTCTTGCAGGACCTTATAAATTATATAGCGACATCTACATTTACCAATTGGAACAGTTAGTGGTTGCACGATGTTACCTACCTACAATTTGTACGTGCTCGCACAAGACACATTTGTGCACTATCCTAATCTACAAAACTACTGCCGCCTTATATAAAACCTGGATACCTCACTCCAATTTCGCATCCAGTTTTGCAATGCTTCTCAGGAGTTGTTTGGAGCAGACATTCTGCGCCTGAGCTACATATCGCCCACGATTTGCTTTCACCCATGCAGGTTCCTATTTGACAAATTAAGTCAAGAAACCACATTTAGGTGCTTTAGCTATATAGAGATCAGTAAAAACACAAAGATAACACATAAAGAATAGAAAATCACCTCGGGAACAAAGTGTGAGAAACCAAACTTGATTAAGAAGAGAGCATGCTCCATTATGAGGATGGCTGCCAGTCCTGGCTCAATTTTCCATTTACCCTCCTCATCATACAGACAAACAAGAAGCAAGCAGTTTGTACAGATTGCCATAACAACCAAGAACTGAAAAGAATTTTTCACATTGAGTATTACAAGGCATGAGACATGCAAGTATATCTATGAGGAATATATATTAAAAAAACTGCTAATGAACCTGGAATATGTTCAGCCAAGCTCCAATCGTAGCTGCATCACGGGGAGCAGGTCTTTTCAACATGACCAACAACTTCAATGCATCCGCTCTAATTTCAGTCACATTATTCTGTCATGAAAATAATTTAAGATAAGTTTAGCACACACAAATCAAACAAGAACACACATGTATGGCATGCGCTCGACAAGAGGGAAGGACACAAGAAGAGAGAGAACACAAATAGCTGTGATGAACCACATACCAGAGCAGCAAAGCAGAATATCGACGGAAATGCACAAGCAAACATCATGATCATCCCAAACTGAAGAGTTAGCTCAAGAAAATCTGTGATGGACTCAACAATGTAAGAACATAACACAGACATCCAAAAGAACTGAGAATAGACAGGATGATTATTTATTGCTGTTACCATCAAATAAACCATCTTCAAGTTCTTCTCCAATGCTTGCAGTATACGAGGGTTTTAGATATTCTTTCTCTACTCTTGTAGATAACCGAACTGACTTCCCAGCTGGCGATTCTTTCTCATGTTTTTTCTTGCTACAAGATGGAAGAGATTTCTTACATCTCTGAATTGGTCTGGAAAAAGAATAGTAGGACAAACAGATTTGGCTGCAGAACTTACTGAACAGCTCTATACTTTTTATAGCTATAATTGAGGTAAGGAATGGAATTCTCAATCAGATTTTCCAATACCTGCAAGTTAATATGTATCATCAAAGGAAGACTAGCATTTATGATTATAACTAATGATGGAATAATTACAATGCAGACATGCCTGGGACACAATGAGACGCTTGATTAGGACTTGCCGGAGTGCCATAATGTTGCGGTGCAGTGAAGCATGGTAAAACAATCCAATATATGATTGCATAAAGTAAAGACCAAAGACCTGCATTTGCCAAAAGAGTAAGAAACCTAACATAAAGCGTGAACCATATTCTTGGCATCATTGTGTTTACCTTATAAACCAAACTATCAGCACTAGACTGTTCCCCTTGGTTGTTTTCATACTTTATTAGAGTGACAGACACCTTGCCACCTATCCTTGTGTAATACTGAATTGCAGCAAGATACACTGCAGTTAACACATACCTGCATAAACATCAGCAATAAGAACTGATGCTTCATATTTTAGTGGTAACCATAAACAACAAAATAAAACATAAGGAATAGATATAAAACAATTAGGAGAAAATAAGCTTCAGGTCAATTGCACATCGTTGATAACTCAAGAATCATGAATAGATCATAGTGATATTCCTACAATCTTACCTTAGCGCCTCAGTTTTTGTAATCGCATATAGATGAGCATAGGCCAACTCAAATGGCAGCTGAAGACAAATGATAGCCAAAACAATGATAGCATTATTCCTAATTCTAAGGAGAACACCAAACCACTCATTTCTTTGTACTATACTTTTCTCCTTGGGAGCACCAAATTTCCTCTGCTGAACATTGTCATCAGCCATAGAAAAGCTTAAAGGGTCCAGTTCATTGCCCATAGTTTTGTATTCCGAAAATGAATAATTTATACCCCATCTGTTGAAAACATCACATAAAAGAAAGGCATGTTTGTGAGCACGGTCTTGAATATGTTTCAAAGGAACTTAATTGACTTAGATATATACAGATTGCATAGAAAATTGCATGCTACCTAGCAAGGACAGCTGAATTCTTCCGTTTCCAAAATTGCAAAAAGAAGACAGCCCAAGAAATAACGAAGAAAAAGAAAGCTGGAAGAACCAACCACTGTAATGACCTGAATTCAGACAGCAGAGAAAAACATTTAGCTGACGACAACAATAAAATCCCAATGATATTTTCTAGATGAGAGGTGCATACCCAAAATCTATCAGCTGGGTTGCAAGTCCAAAAACAGCTGGAAAGAACAGCCAACGTGTATACATTCCGAGGAAAGAAAAATATATTGCAATCTGCAATTCCAGAATTAAATTTTATGGAGTAGAATAAGGTGATACTTGATTTGCTTCAGATAGAATAGTTCATAAATTAAATATGGTAGGTGTAACATGTGCAATCACGCTGGTCTACCTTTGTTCCAAAGTAAGAGTAAATTTCATCAATAGGTTGCCATGTGAAATCAAACCACTTGAGTGCCCAGCTTCTCAGGAGTTGCTTCCTTTTAATTTCATCTGCAGCAAAACAGTTGGTTATCTAATACTAAGAATTTCAAAAATAATTCAGGTTGGTTTACCATGCAAAGGGAAGACTAGCTTTACGATTCCTTCATCTTCCAGCCTGGTTAAGAGTGACTCATTTTGAGTCCAGTGGAACTCTTTATCGTCAAAGCTGAGAGTTATATCAGAATCGGTCTTGTTCACCTGCAAGTCTCCATATCTACCTACTGTCAAATAAGGAAATATGAAGCACAACAAGACTAATCACTTTGTACATTAGCTATATGTTTTATTCATATCTCATGTCAAGCGAAAAGAAAAACTTTGAGACTTGAGAGAATAACCATAGTATAAGCAGAAATATACTAAACCACTTTCCTATTTGCACTTGGCTTGTTTCTTAAATGCAAATATAATAGACAGGTCATCTGATGCATAATGAACTATACTTAAATCTTTGAATCAGCAGTGCTGCAAAAAAAAAATCAATTTTGCAAAAGCCAGGCAGGACATACATGCCATCCGTGAAATACCGGTACTAACAACGAAGCAGTGCTGGTCTAGAAAAATGCCAACTTAGTGTGGAATCTCCAAACATAAATAACTATAACTACAATGTGCCGAAGTGGGTAACAGGAACAAAAGCAACTACAATGGGAGACAACTGTGCACTTACGATGCTGTATATCAAGTGCCGGAAGCAGGCAAACCGCTCTCGCCAGCTAAACAGGGACCCGTCGGGCTGCCTGACGAATGCTCCAACCTGGTCCCATTCAAACTGCAGTTCCATTCCTGACAAGCAGAGAAATAAACCATGAACACATCATCAAATCACCCATTCTGAAATACTCACAGGTGGATTAGATCAGTTACCGATATAAGTTAGCTTCTTCATGTTCATCTCCGCTGCAACTCTCCCCAGGGTCCCCATGGGCGCAGACAGCTGAATTCAAAATGCAAATCCACAAACATTACAACAAGCTCATGGTTTCTCGCCACATGATTATAGCGAAGTGTAGTGCTCCCTTTCCCCTAATCGCCTCCTCGTCTCAGAAATTCAAAATCAGGCCACCGTGCCAAACGGCGGAATTCAAAATATAATAATAAAAGAAAAAAAAACACCGGACCTTGATGAACTCCGCGGGGACGCCGCGGACGCGCTCGACGATCAGCCCTACGTCCTCCAGCTCCCGCACCAGCCGCGCCACGCAGTTCTCGACCTCGCCGCACCCGGCCGCAGCGCCGCGGTAGAGCTTGGGCACGACGATCCCGACCTCGAACCCCGTCGCCTCATCCACGGCCGCGCCCTGCCCCTCGCCCGCTCCCCCTTCCCTCATCCTCCACAACGACGACGGATCAGACGCGGGGAATGGCGGTGGATGCAAGGGAGCGGATCCGCATAGGGGGAAAGGGAAATGCGGCGAGCGATGGAAGGAAAATTTTTTTGCGGTCTTTGGGAAATGAGAATGGAGTGAGACGAGGCCAAAGGACGCGAGGGTAGGAAGAGCAGTTTCTATTGTAAGTATAGTAATTAATTAGACTTACTATTTTGATTAGCACTTAATTAACCTATTGTTAGCTGTTGCCACCGATGCCTGTGGGCGTAGTTAAACTGGCGATTTGGGAGGAAAACGAGGATTAAATCGGGAGGTAATAGCGATTTTGAAAGCTGTGGTGGCTGAGCGGCCAGCAGGTGCGCCTAGCCGCCTAGGAGTCCTGGGCTTTCCACCCGTAGAGTATTTTGACAGGTGGGCCCACGAGCCAACGGTCCACGTGACGCGAGAGCACCGAACGAGGCGTGGGTAGCTGCCACGAGGGACAACAGGTTCACGTTTCGACAAAAGAGCGCGAGCTACGAATTACCCCTGCGGCTGACACTGGGCCACGGGTGATGGCTTTCGCCGTCGTGCCGATTTGGGTCACGACGTATGTCTGGTTGATCGCTGGTTCGGATAATGTGTTCGACGTGAAATGTTTCTTCCAACGCTAATCTTCTCGTGATGACAAGATTAAGGTTTTTGTTAGTGTGTAATTTGCTGCTTGCTGGTGACTACCGCGCAGTAGTTCGATTTATTAGTTACGAATCAATCACTGTTTATTCCGCAGAAAAAGGAATCGTTTTGTCTGCTTATTTGTAGCACCACTCGAACGGCTTCCTCTTCTGCTGCAGCTGATGCGCTCCCGAGCTGCTGCCGCCGTTCCCGTAGACGAAAGACCGGTACGCCATGGCGCCGCGCTCCTGGACCACGTCGCAGAGCGTCTCCGGGCGCAGCGCCGCGACGTGCAGGCCGACGGCGTCGAGGTGCCACCACCCGCTCCTCCCGCTGAACCCGACCACCACGCCGCCCTCCATCGGGTACTCGAACGGCACCCCGTCCCCCGACGCGTCCCCGAACGGCCCGTGCACCGCCCCCGTGCTCGTCCGGAACGTCAGCGACCGAACCACCGTCGATCCGCCGTGCGCCACCGGGCCGCACCGGCCGCCGACGCCGGTCAGGAACTCGTACGGGTAGTCCAGCTTCACCTGCATCGATCAGAGAGAGAGGGAGAGATTCAGAGAGATGCACATTTTTTTTGGTAGATGAGCTGACTTGCACCGGAGCACGCACGCACGCACGCACCTCGGCAGTGCGGCTTGTTCTGCCGTCGCCGCCGCCGCCGTGCTTCTCGCCGTGGACAGGGTGGCCGTTCCTGTCGTACTCCACCCTCATCGACTCGAGGAACCGCCCGTACGTCAGGGCGATGCTCCGGACGCCGCGGTGCGCGCCGTCGTCCCACGGGCTCCCGGCGGTGCCTCCCCACGGCCCGACCTTGATGGCCTTGCTCGAAGCAACCATCCTCCTCTGCTGGTAATGACCCGGTTGCTGAAAGAGCAAGAAAAAAAACTGTGTTCAGCTGCGTTCGTCGTCAGAAATGTTCAGCACGATCGAGAATTCGAGACCACGACAGTTGATGTGCCTTACCATGTCCATTAGACTGACTTGCTTGTCACCTGAAATTCGGAGAAGAACAGGAAGCACCTGGATAAGTGGTTGTATCCTAGTAGGAGTGTACTATTTTTCGTTAACAAGTAGGAGAGTGCACTTATATAGAACTGAAATACTCACTTTTGTAAGAGGTAAGTGGAGAGTACAAAGAATTAGATACCGGATAGCACAAGCTAGACCATGATGTTCTTTTAATTTTGTGCTTCACCTGGGGCAACAAGAAACCTTAGCACATAATAATGTACTTTAATCTGTGCTTCATCTGGGTCCTGGGACAGCAAGAAACTTAGCATTGTTTATTTGAAAGAACCTCAGCATTGTTGCTAATCACTTTTTTTTTTGAATTTTTGCTGCTAATCACTTTGAGTGTTCTCGGGTCTTAGATAAAGCAGGTATGGCTGGAGCGGGCGAATAAGATGCTGAGCGATTGTGATTGGGTTCTGGCATATTAGGTGGGGAAGAATCAAATGATTGGCGTATACTTCCTCCGTCCCAAAAAAAAAAGTCAAACCATGATTTTCCGTGTCTAACTTTAACTGCCCGTCTTATATGAAATTTTTTTATAATTCGTATTTTCATTGTTGTTAGAGGATAAAACATGATTAATATTTTATGCGTGACTTTTTTTTAAATTTTTTTCATAATTTTTTCAAATAAGATGGACGGTCAAACGTTGTACACGAGTTTTTTTTTGGGATGGAGGGAGTATGTACCTGGAATTTTCTCGTTCCCAAAAACTTTTTCTGGTCTGAACTTAGGACTGATCAGTTTGTCCGGTATCACTCCCCGTATCTGCTATGGATTAATTTATCTGAATTTGCAAGCATAAGTTCTTTTGTTCTGTGTTCAATAATATAAGCAGCGTCGTAGACTGACTGACGAGCTGATGAGGAATCAGAAACTCTTGTCGTATCTGTTGCTTTGTGCTTATTGCTACTGAACCAACATTCTGGGGAATATTAGCTAGTAGCTACGGTACAGATTTTCGCGGTTAACAAACACTTTCAGGACAGGGCCACAAGAACATAGAAACTCTTTTAAAACTCTTTGAAGTATTCGGGTGGATGTTCATATGTTTCTTCCATGTCAACTAAATAATTAAAAAAAAAATAAAAAAAGATACATTAATATGTAATATATCACTTAACATGCATGTTCAAAATTAACTTCTAAAGGTTCGAAAAAATAACAAATTTAGCTATAAATATACTACCTGTAACAAATAATATGTAATATACTAGTTGGAGTTTATTTTGTTATTTTTGTTACAACTCGTGCAAGGTGGATTTTAACTTGCTTGTTTGTAAAGTGATATATTAATCTATCTTATAAAAAATATTTTTTTCATAACAATTTAGTTTGCAGGGAAAAAGGTACATATGGTGAAATTTAGAATCCATCTCCCAGGTGGACGTCCACAAGAACAGTCCAATTGGAAACACAACAGAAGGCGAATGATAATGCTATGCACACCGCACAGCTCACCTGCTTATATAATTCAGATATCCAGTAGTGGTAGTTTACACTTTACAACCGAGCAACCCCCAAGGCTCCCAATGCGTCGCAATCTTCCTGTCATTAGGCATGAATCGGCTCATTTCCAATAGCAAATTTATCAGACTAGCTGACACTCTAGCAGCTATATGTTTTCCACTGTTTCTTCGCTGAGTAATCATGGACACCCAATCAGCTTCTTGTTCACGCTGTCAAAGTCTCAAATGCTATATTTTCAGGAATGCGGGACACTCCAACGCATATCCACTGTTAGCTGGGGCCTTGTGCCGTGCTCTAAAGATTCTTGGACACCTCTTATTATGGTGTATCCGGACAGCAGCTTAACTTTGCTCCTACGTCAATTATCAGTAGCTCAGGGTCAGGTGAACTATCTGTCTATTTGTGCTTACTAGCTTTGACTGAACGGATCAGGACATGGCAGCTGTTCTTTTCTTTTCTCTAGCCTGTTGCTTCAGCCTTAACGTCTTAGCTTGCACTCTGCAGAATGAGATGAAACCAACAACTCAACTCTTTGTGACTTGTGAGTTGTGAACTGTTCCGTTCACGTCGGGTTCACCTGCGATCTTCGGTTGAGCGCAGGTCAAGCTGTTCCTGAACACGCCTGCCTGATCTTGCGGTCTGACGAGCAATTCACGAGGGAAAGAAAACTTCGTTCGGACAGGCGGCTGGACGATGAGTGAAACGAAACAGGGGATCAATCAAACGAAACGGCGCCAAACCATGCAAGGCATGAGGGCGACGGCCGCCCCGCCCCACCGGAGCAGCCATCATTGGGGAGGGGGGGGGGGGGGGGAGCACCGAACGCTTTGCGCGCGCGCGGCGGCAACGATCGATCGCATGTGGTGTGCGGCCCCACTCTCGTCGCCTTCGAATGAGTTGGCTCAATCGAATGATCGAATCAAGGTTCATATACTGTTGCTCGAAATCCGTCTTTGAGAACCTAAATCTCTTCGTTTCAATTTCTTGATGCCATCGCCGTGTATTTGTCACTCGCAGCAGTGCAATGTTAAATTCGGGAATGAGTACTACGGAGTTTCATTCCGTTAGCCATCACCTGCAAAAAGCCAAGAACACGTAATTCTTGTAAACACTAAACCAAGAACACCGGTCGTTTTGCTCGTGAGCTGTCTCGGGGTAGGCAGGCCAGGCAGACAGACTGTGAAACCAAGACCTCTTCAGTTATAACAGCGCGCTCTCCTGCGCCTCATCACACACACACACACACACACACACACACACCCCACGCATTCAAGCAGCCCTGGTGTTGTACAGATCATCCGAGGCGACGTTTCTCGATTCGATCATGGCCACCAAGATGTTCCGCGCCGCCGTCGTCGTCGTCGCTGCCGCGGTGTCTTGCCTCGCCGGGGTTGCTCTGGCTGCCGATGGGCCCGCGCCGAGCCCGACGTCCGGCGCCGCCGCCGTCTCGTCCTCGGTCGTCGCCGCCGTTCTCTGCCCGGCCGTGGCGCTCCTCTTCGCCAACCTGCGCTACTGAGTTGGTTGAGGTCGTCGCAGCGCGCGCGTGTCCATGAGGCTGGCTCCATGAACGACTCTGTTCTTCTCTGCTTGATCACTCGCCTAGTGTGCCTTCTTTACCCCCCTGGTTCTTACCTGTACTTAGCTTCTTCCTTCCGGTGCGCTAGATTAACCGTTCTTGCCTTCTTGTGATACGCATCTATGTGTATTGATTCAGATCATTTCATACCATCATTTGGAACTATTTATTAATTGCTCCGTTATATGCCGGCCTGTGAAATTAATCGTCGTGGTTTTGTTTCCCGACGGATATGATTCAATAACCTGCTACGAATATCACGGATTCTAGACGAATATTGTGGATTATACGGAGGATGAACTCATGAACACCAGGCGATTTTCGCTGTAACTATCGTGTGTTTCTCCAGTTCTGTTTCATTTCCAATTTTGTTTTCTTTTGGCTGTTGTCACTGGGTGCAAGACCGTCAATTTGTAAACATTTGGTTCACTGATCGCCTGAACTCTTCTTCTCAGATAATTTCTGCGTGCGTGCAGCTTATCAGCTTTACAATTTGCACCGCGCTGGGCCGCTGGCGCCGCATCGAACATGCAATCGCCCATTCTACATTCCTACCTAGGTTTTCGTCAGAATGCCAAGGTCGAGCCCAGAATTCCTTACAGTGTAATCGTCGATGACAAAATCCGCCGCGGATACCTAACCTCGACCATCTTGAGCTCCGCGAACCGCCGTGCGCGTGGGCTGAACAGAGACGCCGCCGGCGCCGTGGCGACTCGACGTCGCCAAGTCGGATGCAAGGCAGATGCAGCGACTGGACGAAACTAGAGTTCCTCGTGAGGGTGCGAGCCGCCCTCGCGCCGGCGTTCGTCCAGGTACCTCATGGCGAGGCTGGCGTGCAACGCCGCGCCGTACGGGAGCGCGGCGTCGTCGACGCGGAAGTGCGGCGAGTGCGCGAGGTGCACCAGCCCCTCCGCCTCGTTGCGCACCCCGACGAAGTAGAAGTGGGACGCCGGCACGGCCTCGGAGAAGACGGCGAAGTCCTCGCTCCCCATGCACGGCTCCATCGCGCCGAGGACCGCGGCCGAGGCGCCGAGCGTCTCCGCCGCGACGGCCTGGAAGTGCGCGTGCAGCGCCGCGCTGTTGATGGTCGGGGGCAGCAGCGGCCTGCCCCCCGCGTGGAAGTCCACCGCCGCGGCGCACCGGTACACCGCCGACTGCGCCACGATCACCTCCTCGATCCGCCGCTTCAGCCGCAAGAAGCCCTCGTTCGAGAACACCCGGAACGTGCCGCCGATCGTGATCGACTCCGGGATCACGTTGAGCGCGTCGCCGGCGAGGAACCTCGTCACCGTCACCACCTGGGCCTCCAGCGGGTCGGCCTCCCGCGAGACGAGGCCCTGCAGGGCGAGGACGACGGTGGAAGCGGCCAAGATGGGGTCGACGCTGGCGTGGGGGTGTGCGGCGTGGCCGCCCTTCCCGGTGATCACCGCCTCGAAGAAGCCGCAGCCGGCGAGCAGCGGGCCGGGCCGCGATCCCACCACGCCGGTGGGGAGCTCCACGCTGACGTGGAACCCGAAGATGGCCTCCACGTTGTCCACGGCGCCGGCTTCCACCATCCTCCTGGCCCCGGTGCCCACCTCCTCCCCCGGCTGGAAGAGGAGGACCACCGTACCCTGCAAAAGAAGACCAGACTTTGCTTAGGCTGTATTGGGGGATGCAGTCAAGCAACAATATTGCGAGTTAGTACTTAGTACTCCCTCCGTTCGTTTTCTAAGATATGACGCCATTTACTTTTTCTCACATATTTAACTATTCATCTTATTTAAAAATTTTATACAAATATATAATATATAAATCACACTTAAAGTACTATGGGTGATAAAACAACTCATAACAAAATAAATTATAATTACATAAATTTTTTTAATAAGACGAATGGTCAAACATGTGAGAAAAAATCAACGACGCCATCTATTAAAAAACGGAGAGAGTACATGATTAATTAAGTACTCCCTCCGTACTCGTAAAGAAAATCGTTTTGGATAGCGACACGGTCTCCAAAACACAATTTTGACTTCTTGTTTCTATAAAAATATTTATTGAAAAGTGATATATGTATACTTTTATGAAAATATTTTTCAAGACAAATCTATTCATGTAATTTCTACATTTTCAAACTCAACAACATGAGAGTTATTCGTGATTTATATTCCCAAGGTTTGATTTACACATTGTCCTAAATGAATTCATTTATAAGTACGGAAGGAGTATTAGCTTAAAAAATTTTAAAAATAGATTAATATTATTTTCTAAAGTAATTAACTAGGTGGCGCGGCTAGCACCCATACAAAATTATCTATTTTTTAATATAATTTATTTAAAAATTGTTAAATAGCTCTTTTTTTGTCTTAAGACTTTGAAAGACTAAAACTTATCATCTATGTGTTTCTAATTTTTTAGTTTTTAAAAGTTATATGTATTTGCTACCCCTTATTTTTTGTCACATTTTTTATTTGCTTGTTCGATCTATCACTGTTTCTATTCATTTTCCTCAGATCCTTTCAAAATTAGACCTTACAAATTTTAGAGTTTATTGTCTCGTTGGGTTTCGTTTTTATAATTTTTAGGTGTCCCGTCAAACATTGCCATTATACTTATCTATTACCCGTCCGTTGTCTTCTCTCTTTATTGTCATTGTGATTTTAAAAATTGATTTTTTTTAACTTTCGAAGACCCGCCAAACCATCGGTAGCATTTCCATTGTACTCCTCTACGGCTGTCCGCTGCCTCCCCTCTTTATTTTCATTGAGATTTCAAAATCGAACATGATTATCATTAGGGGTTTATTTTTTTCTCTCTAGAAGTCCCATCAACCGTCGTAACTGCTGCTTAACAGCCTGTCTGTCATCCCAATTTTAATCATCATTGAGATTCTATTTGAGGTTTTGTTTATAACTATTAGATGGCTCAAAAACAGTCACCACTCTACTCTTCTCTTCTCTTTATTGTCATTTATCATCATTGTGTTCTAAATGTTTTTTTAAAAAAATTCCATATTTCTTGTTTTGATATTTTTTATTTTTAAATTATATTCATACTTTAACTTTTATAATATTTTTTCTATTTTTAGAATTTATTTTATTTGTTATACCAAATTTTAGTTAATCTTGTCAAGTGTTCTAGATGGTCTCTTCTTTCAATAATCTCTACTTTTTATTACGAATTTTAGTTATTTATAAATTGTATTCCTAGTTGAACTCTTATTTTTATTTTTATAATTTCAGAATTAATTTTGTTTTTTATTTCGAATTTTAATTAATCTTTTATTGTGTTCTATATGGTCTATCCTTTTAATATTCCTTATTTTGTTATTTTCAATTTCAATTGTTTTAAAATTGTATTCGTACTTAAACTCTCTTTTTTATTTTTCAAATTTTGGATTTTATTTCAAATAAACATAAAATGGATTAATGTGATTTTAAAATCAACTTACCTAAATTTTTATTTTAAAAAACACACCGTTTAATATTTTAGAAAGTGTGCTTTAACTTTGACAGCCGCTGCGTCACTCATAATAAGTGTACCAATATATATAGCAAACCGTTGTCTACCATATTCAGAAAGTATATTAAACACATACCGCTGATGCTTTCAGCTGCAAAATAGAGTACTGAACAATATGAAACTGACATCACCATAGGTGTTCGCCCGCAAGAACAAGCCTCTAGGAAAATTTACGACGGTTCGCCTGTCCTTGTTTGGATTCTCCTCCAATTCACTGTCTCTCAGGTCAGGTGTTGCTTCAATGCATAGCATCAGAAGGGACATAAATTATCAAATTGAAGTCAAATTATTTTTTGTTTTTTTTGAAAAAAAAAGAGGCAAACTTGAAGTGCAGTAACTGATTTTGGAAACGCCTATTGCCCGAAGAAAAAAGTACGCATGCTGCTCCTAGATTCCATTTGGCCGGGATAAGCACTCTCCACTTCTCCAGAAGAGGACTCGATCCGTCCGCAAGAAACAAAGCTTTGTGACTTGCTGCAATTTCATCCACAGGATGTCAGGAACGACTTCGCTGACAGACATTACTCGGGCTGAATACGTTGACAGAGACGCCCGGCGTATCCCGTCGAAAATCTTGTTTGATGTTCACAGGGTGTATTCACTACGTAGTACTCCAGAACTCAATTTCAGCGACGCTTACGTATGATGTCAAACTATCCAACATGTCTGCAATCGTTCCAATAAAATCTGACCATTTTAATTCAGTACAATAATGCTAAATATGTTTCATATTAAATCGTTGTCCCCGTTTACTCACGGGGATAAATTTAGGAAACGTTTTTACCCCCCATCGTCCACTAACGTCTTTTTCTAGGAACCATGTGTCGTTGACAGAACAAAGTTACAAATCTGATAATGCTAATCATTTTAATTAGTTGGTTAGGGTCGCAGTTGAAAAGCAAAATCTCAGCACGATTTTTTCTTTTGAGAGAAAAGAAATCGAAGCAAAGAAAAGGGAAATAGAGATATGATTAAAATGAATTATAACAGGCTGATGTCGTTGCTTCAACTGTGAACAAGAAATATTTGAAGAATCTGTTGGGAAAAAGACACCGCAACAAACAAATGATCGAGCTAACTGATATATTATAGCAGTGCACAGTTTTCCCTTTTTTTTCTAAAGGATCTCGCGGTTCTGTTCCAACCACATACGCCATTTTTTTAAAAAAAAATCAAATCAAATCAAATCAGACATCTAAAATATTCAAGCCTATAACTGTTCAGGGGATAGAGATCACCTGCAGTTGTAATGTGGACTGCAACTTTAGCAGTCCTTACGTGACCGTTAGATCAAAGAAAAACATCTCATATTCGGCCAGAACACTGTAGCACGCGTATAGTCCTGTAGCGTACTGTAGCATATACTGTAGCGTTGTTAGCTTGGTTATGACGTGGCACAGCCATCTGTCGTTCATCAGCTTGATCCGACGGTTGTGAAGGGATGTGACTGCCTAACTTGCAGTCAATGTAATAACTGTAACGGATCTTGATTCCTGTTCAGGTCATCAGGTGCACTCACAAGCTCACAGCGCAAGGGTTCGCATCTCTCATCTCATGCACTCTATGACTGATAAGCCGCAAAAAGAAAATCAACGAAACAACTGAAATTATGTACTCCCTCGGTCCCAAAATAAGTGCAGTTTTGTACTATTTATGTCTAACGTTTGATCGTTTGTTTTATTTAAATTTTTTATGATTACTATTTTTATTGTTATTAGATGATAAAACATGAATAATTTTCAGGTGTGACTATTTTTTTTATTTTTTTTATAAAATTTTCAAATAAGACGGATTGTCAAATGTTGGACACGGATTTTTACGGCTACACTTATTTTGGGACGGAGGTAGTATAAAACTTTTATACTTAAATTTTTATTTTTTAACAATTGAAAATCAATGCTAAAAAATAAACTATAATAAAAAATCAAAATTAACTAAAATTAAGTATAAAAATTAAAATTTAACTGTCTCTGATAAGCCAACAGGCAAGCTATTGAGCAAGAAGAGCAAACTTTGAAAGAGATAACAGCGGATGAGGAGCAAGAGGGAGTATAGTTGCAATAGTAACCTGCAGCTCATGGCGTCGCTCCTGGAGGATCCTGGCGGCGCCGAGGAGCATGGTGGTGTGTGCGTCGTGGCCGCAGGCGTGCATCTTCATGGCCACCTTACTCTTGTGCTCCCACTGCACCTCCTCCTGACAAGTTTTTGTTGAAGGCTTTTGCAGATCAGTATATGAAAGATAGAATGAATATCCCAATATTCTTTTGGTGCATTGAACAAAACCCAGCAGAATGTATCTCAAGCTATCTTAACGCTTAAGTACCCATGTTGCAAACTTTGATTTCAATCCACAAATTATTGTGTCAATAGAATAGACTGTGGAACCGTGTGTATAAACATTTTGCTGTTGTGGAGTTAGTTTTTCATCCCTTAAGTGGTCATAAAAAGTCTAACCTATCAAATAGTCATAAAAACTCTTGAAAAAAATTGTTAAGATTTATACAATAGTCGTCTATGATGTTCTTTTTTTTTAAAAAAAATCATAACTATGTAAATAACATGTAAAGTATGGGAGGACATCCAATCAGAGGATACAAACTTTTTTGTGATTTTGTTACTAAAAAATAAGCTCAAGTTAAATGTAAGGGTGTGTTTGCAAGAGCAAGCTCCCAACACTCCACTTTCATTTTAGAATCAATTTAGCAATTCTCTCAACTTTTGAGTAGAAGATAAAATCAATCATAGGTACGCATATGACTTATGCGGTGGGACATTATAATGGTTAAACATTTTATTTTTATTACTAAAATGAAATGAAATAATGTCTCAAAATTGACAACATTTTAAAATAGATGTAGTCAAACATAAAAACAACTTACAAAAACACAATGATTTGACAAAAATTGTTATGGAAAATGTTTTCATATGGTTATAAGTTAAGCATGTTATAGAATGCATGATTAAAAAAACATGTTTATTGGAGACTTGCTGTTGTTTTAGACATCGTGTAAACAAAGAGATGGTAACTCACTCCGGCCATATTTTGGACATAATTTAAGTAAAGTAATTCGATGTACAAATGTCTATATTTGCCCTGAAAAGTACATAATACTCTAATTTTTATCAAGTTTATTAAACATCAACTTATAGAATTAGAAGGTGTGGTTAGATTTCTGTACAACCTAAACATAACACAACTCTTCTAGGTTCTATGTTACTGTGCCTCTACTGCTTTATTAAACACAAGCTTGCGCCTTGCAACGGCTTAACAATTATAGCTCGTTGAAACGCAATAATTTTGTAGGTGCTCATAATTTTTTTTATTTTATTCTTCTAAAAATTCCTTTGAAATTGCTCCATTCTAAAGGGAGGCTCGATTTATATGCACTGATGCCTCTCCACTGAACACCTGAATTTTTCATCCAATTCACTTAAATTTTTACCTGAGAAAAACATAACACAGAAACCCTACAGATCGATTCCGTCATTCTTTTTTTTCCCTTTCCTTTTTTTTTTTTTTGAAAAGGCAGGCAGCAGGTTCCATCATTCAAATGACTACTCCAACCAAAACGCTTAACAGATAAAACAAGAATTCCAATCAATACGTGCATAAGAAATCAATGAGCCATGGCAGGTTGCCCCCCCGGGCTGTCTCCCACATACGTTACCTGCATCGGGAGTGCATCCATGTCGGCGCGCAGCGCGACGAACGGCGGGCGCCCGGTGCCTACGGTCGCGACGACGCCCGTGCCGGCGACCGGGTGCCTGTACGCGACGCCCATGGCGTCGAGCTCCGCCCTCACCAGCCTGCTGGTCTCGATCTCCTCGAACGCCAGCTCTGGCCGCTCGTGGATGGCCCACCTGACGCCCGCCATCCACGCCGCGAACTCCGGCCGCCTCGCCCGATCGAGCACGTCGACGCCGCCGCCGCCGCCCGCCGACGCACCTCGGCACGCGAGACATAGCGCCGCCGCGGCGACGGCGACGACGACAACGAGGTCATGGCTACGCAGGTGCGGAGGAGGAGCGGCGCCCATGGCAGACGCACGCGCACGCGCCATGGCGCGCGGTCGCGACCGAGGACGAGCGGTACCGGCCGCGGGTACGGTAATTGGTAAGTATACACGCGATGCGATGTCCCCCGGCCGGCGCGCGCGTGTGGCGGGTTATATATACACGTGGACGCCGGGCGCGCGCGAGCGAGAGCGACGTCTCCGCGAGACGACTCCGCGGCTCCGCCTCCTCCTCAACGTGAGGCGGACGCTGATTACGTCGCGCCGATGGCCGCGCGCGCGCCTCGCGCTGGGCGCACGATCCGAACGTTCATATATAATAACGGCGGCGGCGTTGTGTGCAGGGATTACAGCATGTACAATAACATATTATTAGCCAGCTATAAGATAAAAGATAAGAGAGAATAGCAACGAACTACAGATATGTAGCCATGTGTTATGGCTCCAAGACACAATGTATATAAAACAAGTATGATCATATATTAATAGTATAGTACTCCGTAAAAAACGAATTAGCTGTTAGATCGACTATAAATAAATTGGAGATAGTACTGGACTATACTACTACCTCTGTTCCAAAATAAGTTAAACCGTGGATATTCGTACTCAACGTTTGACCATTCGTCTTATTTAAAAAATTTGTGAAAAAATTAAAAATATTTAGTCACACATAAAGTACTATTTATGTTTTATCATCTAATAACAATAAAAATACTAATCATAAAAAAATTTTAAATAAGACGAACAGTCAAACGTTGAACGTGAATAGTGTAAAACTACACTTATTTTGAGACGGAGGGAGTATTAAACTTGCTCTTAGCTAGCGGCATATAGGCGAGGAGAAAAGACGTGACGGGACGCGCGCGAGAGAGGCTCGGGGATCGTTGGAGTGGTGTTGGATCGACTCGATCGTGGGTCCTTGTGTCTGCGCGAGTATTCTCGCGGATGAAGAATTCAACGGCTCAGGTCAGGTCTTGCCTTGACGATCATCCTCGCGGCCGGCTGGGCCGCAAGTTTAGAATGCAACAGTTTTAACGTTTTAAGCGGGTATATAGCTCTACAGATCAAAAGGTTCTAAACGGGGCAATTTGTCCATTAATTGTTGGACATGGACGCCCTCATGGATATTGGAGTCAACCGTGTGGGTTCGTTTTCGTTTTCTCCGGTACTGGTGTCTTCGTCAGATCAAGGCGTGTCACACACATACTGGATTACTGGTGTACAGTACTCCAGAAGACACGCCACGTACGATCAAATAGTAATAAAGCAACTCATTAGAAAAACAACGTCAACGACGGGACAAATATACCAGTGACGTCGTATGTTGTGCAACCAGCCAGCTTATTATTAAGAGTATGACCGTAAGCTAGCTATAAACACATTTTGAGAAGATAAAAAAGAAGAGAGAAGAACAATGGGCTACATATTTGTAGCCAGCTGCAGCACAGACTCCAAGTTACATATGTATATGACAGGTGAGACCAGATATTAATTATGTAATACTCCCTATGTTTCAGGTTTTAAGACGTTTTGACTTTCCTCAAAGTCAAAACGCTTTAAGTTTGACCAAGTTTGTAAAAAAATAGTAACAAATTTATTACGAAAATATATTTAATTATTGATTTGATGAAACTAATTTAGTATTATAAATATTATTATACTCCCTCCGTTTCAAAATGTTTGACACCGTTGACTGTTTAGTACGTGTTTGACTATTCGTCTTATTCAAAAAATTAAGTAATTATTTATTCTTTTCATATCATTTGATTCATAGTTAAATATACTTTTATGTATACATATAGTTTTACATATTTCACAATTTTTTTTTTGAATAAGTCGAACGGTCAAACATATGCTAAAAAGTCAACGGTGTTAAACATTTTAAAACGGATGGAGTATTTATCAATAAACTTAGTCAACTTAAAACAGTTTAACTTTAACCAAAGTCGAAACGTCTTATAACCTAAAACGGATGGAGTATATATTTATGGATAACTATTGTATTCATGGTTCAAGAAGGCGCTAGGCGCTAGTTGGGCGGATAGGGGGCGCCTAGCGCCTAATTGGCGCCTAGGCCCCGCCTAGGCGGCGCCTAGGTCGGGTCAAATAGTTAAATTCAAGAAATTAGTAGGCATATTGCATAGAAATTAGACTATATAACACTAAAATAGCAATAAAATACTACCTAAGTAATTTAACCGCCTAATGCACCATTGAATGCCTAATCGCGGCGGCTACCCGGCGCCTAGCGCCTAATGGGCGCCTAGGCGGCACCTAGGGCCGATTTTTAGAACACTGATTGTATTAATGGGCTATTAAGTTGACTATATATGATTTAGAGCCGGCAGCTGGCTATACTATTAAACTTGCTCTAAGTAATGGCTTGCCTTGGCTCTAGGTTACTACTTGTCAAAGCAAATTTTTATTGCCAAAGCACTTTCTAATAATTCCTATATTGTTAATAAAAAGATATGGTATCTCCATTGATTCGATAAATCATACCGTATATCCGAAATTATCATCGTAGGTAACGCTCCAAACCTATTTATTTTACACGAGATGGGAATTGAGATTCTAAACTAAATACAACCTATAGTCTTTATTTATTTTAAATTTCAGACTTGTCCAGACAAAAATAGGCTACAAAATAATACTCCAGACCAAATACAGCTCGATCGGCACCAGTTAATTATAACTTTTAAAAAATATTAAATAATAAATTTTTTTTATATTTTTATCAATAGCACTAATATCTGTGCATTGGACGAAGTACGAGTAGTATGGGCTGGTTTGGTTTGTGATCTAAATCGACCTTACCAATTTTGGCACATTTTGGCATAATTAATTTTGGAAGGCAAGTTATGTTTGGATTGAAGCCAAAATAGCCTAAGTTAACTATTGAAATGGCCTATTTTCTTAAGCATACTAAAATTTGGCTTCAAAACAAATAGACACTCAACACTATTAAAATTAAAATTGCTAAATATTGGTAAGCCAAATTTAAGCCACAAACCAAACCAGCCCTATATGTCCAATTGAAATCGAGATTGCTGGCGCACGCGGCAGCATGCGCGGAACTATGCGCGTCGTTTCGTTCAACCCAGCACGTGATCTTATTAAAACGTCTCGCTTATCTTAACTCTTTTTAAGCAGTCAAAAAGAAGCCGTCACGCTCCAATTAAGTTGGCGATTGCATAGTTTGAGAGATCAGCATGAAGAAATGGCGTTCCCTTTTGACGGAGCTATCATGAGACATGTCGTTTCAACTTTGTCGTGTTCGGATTAAACGTCGGCCCTAGTAATAAGCAGCGCATCAAATTAACCTGACATTGAAAACGTGCATCATTCATCGTTTGCTACGGAGGAGACACAGGACACACCGTGGAGCACTGCCAAAAATTTAGTGCTAGTACATCACAATCACTGCTTCGGGGGTGTTTAGATCTAAGGTCGGAAAGTTTTGGTGTGTAACTATATAGGGTGTCGTATAAAATGTTCGGATACTAATAGAGAAACAAATTGTATAATCCATCAATAAACCGCGAGATGAATTTATTAAGACTAATTAATCCGTTATTAGCAAATGTTTACTGTATCACTATATTTTCAAATCATAGAGTAATTAGGCTTAAAGATTCATCTCGTAAATTAGTCGTAATCTGTACAATTAGTAATTTTTTAGTTTATATTTAATATTTTATATAGAAGTTCAAACGTTCGATATGATATGGCGTAAAGTTTTAGCATAGGATCTAAACCTGGCCTTCGTCTGTTATCGTGGTACAACGATTGTACGGGCCTGTGTTTTTTCTCGAGATGAACAAATTGTACCGGCATGTTTATCTCGCTCGCCGTTGGTGTGGCGTCAGAATGGATCACACGCTGGGCGCTTCGCCTCGCACGTGAAAATATTGGGGTTTTTGCAGTTTCGCACGCTATCATGTGGGCTGTGGCCTCTGCCGCCTGCGTGGCTGCGACCGTCCGTACATGCGTCGTCAGCTGCACTAACATTTGGACAGAATTTTTCGTCAGGGCGCACTGCCAGTTGATGCCGCGCCTGCAGGATCATCATCAACTGCCCCGCGTCGCGTTGCGGCTGCGCGCGTTTCAGGCGTTGCGGCTGCCGGTTGATCTCGAGACGCAGGAACGCAGAGGCGCGAGCACCCATCGGGCCAGCCAATACGGTACTACTACACCAGTAGAAGCAGCAGGGGATCCGGATCTAGGGCCTCGTATAGATCTCGGAAAATTTTTGCTAAAAATGTCACATCAAATATTTGATCACCTGCATAGGATATTAAATATGGAGAAAAAATAATTACACATTTTACATATAAATTACGAGACGAATCTTTTGAGCCCAACCACACCATAATTTGACAATGTGATGCTATAGTAAACATTTGCTAAAGACGGATTAATTAGGCTTAATAAATTCGTCCCGCGGTTTACAGACGGAATCTATAATTTGTTTTATTATTAGTTTACGTTTAATACTTCAAATGTGTGTCCGTATACTTCAAAAACTTTACAACCAAGAAACTAAACACACCCCTACGATACTCATTGAGTCATTGTTAGTGTGTGTGAAACTTTTAAGCAGTAGTAGTACTGCTTATCGTTGAATACCGAATTGAACAGTCTAAATTAATTAGCACAACAGTGTTAGTTGCAATGTACTAGGCCCTATTTCGAAGATTAGCCTACGACTAATTTTAAGAGCTAATGTTTAGTATTGAATTTATAGGCTAAACATTAGTCTAGGGTGATATGTTTGGATCCATGAGCTAATTCAGGGATAAAAGGTGGAGAGAGAGATGGAGATGGGGCTGCTTTTTCATGGTCTCTATAGAAAATTAGCCACATTAGCATCTCTTTAAGAGGCTAATGTTTTGAGGGGGCTAATTCACTTTAGCCCCAAATTAACCTAGTTGTTTGAATCCTTAGGGGCTAATTTAGAGCTCAAAGGTGGGGGCTAATAATTAGCCCATGAAACCAAACAGGGCCCTGGAAAAAATACCATAGCACAAAATACTACTAGTAGTACAAAGATAGTTGTGAATCTAGACTGTTGACCACATAAATGAGACCACTATGTACTAGTATTATATAATATACTAGTATTATATAGTACAGCTGTTAGGGTAGCTATAGTTCCATGTAGGATTGTATCCGATCAGGATTGTAGGCCAAGGGATTGTTGGCCAAGTTTAGTTTCAAACTTTTTTTTTAAACTTTTAACTTTTTCATCATATTAAAACTTTTCTACACACA